GGTTCTTCTCGCTGTTGCCAGTCCAGGCTCAGGTCCATACTCAGTGACCCCAGCTCCCCTGAAAGCTCGATGGGGAGGACCGTCAGAGGCCACTTGGTCGACATGGCACTGTTCACCGCGCAGGCGTTCCCCAGGTGGTCCGTCGACCCTGTCATCTTGAGGTTCGCCCTCTGGTGGCGCTCCCCAGGGTTCGCGAAGAGCTCCACGCAGGGGATCGTGCCGAGGAACTCGAGCGCCGCGATGACCCTGTTCGGGTCGTTTGCCTCGGCACACATCCGGGGGTGTCATTCCGTCTCGACATCGAGCGCATATCAGCGGGGGGGTCCCTTGCTTGCTGCCGTCTGGCTGTATTTCCCAGACGCCTTCGCATCCGAGCGGAAGCGCCAGGCGCTTCAATATTTGCCCAGTCGCCAGTCGATTGCCGATCCACGACAGCACGAGTTTGGTCGCCCGCGGTAGGGAGGCCCTCTTCTTGCCTTGCCTTGCTACGCTGGCGAGTTAGGCGTTCATCGGTCCCATAAGCGGCTTCTCCCATACGAAGATCATCGCCGCGAAACCCAGGGCGCCCCAAGCCCGACGCCAACTCGCCAACGTGGATGGTGCCCTATTCGACCGTTTCCCTGCACCAGGGTGCTACCCAAGCCGCCCTCGCTTCAGAGAGGCCCATGGTGTATTTGGTATGTAGTCACAGAGGAGACCGTGCCGCTCGCGCTCTGCTAGCGCCGCGACTGCGTAGTTGCCGTTGAAGCTGTTGCGCAGGTGCTCTTTGGACATCTTGATCATCTTGCGCGCTTTTGCCTCGTCCGCGAGGTGTTCTCGGAGCCAGCCGCGGTCTTCCGCGCTGCTGCAGTTGGCCGCTTCTGGGGCGGCCCAGCGGGCCACGTTTTGGCCGAGACGCCACTTCGCGAGTTCCTCGGAGAGTTCATCCCGCCGGGGCAACTCGTGCAGTATGCCCGCTGTGATTCCCGTCTCCAACTCCTTCGTCGACTCCGCTTCTGTCTGGGCCACCGGCTTCGCGCAGAAGTGCCGCTGGCCGACGGATGCAGATGGGCTACCCCTCGGCGATGCATCCCGAGGCGTCGTTGTGGCCCGCCCGCCCCACTGTCCCCAGCCAACCCTCGAGGCTCTTCCGTGCCGCCTCGTAGACCTCCTTCCGTTTGAGGTCGGAAGGCTCGTTCGGGTCGGTGCCGGCCAGTGTTCTGTTGCGCCGCCAGCTCGGAATGGGGCACGCCCTACGACTGTCCATCCGCTCACGACTTCCGCTCGGCGGCGAGCCCGGGGGAGAAGCGAGGAGGCGCGGGCCTCCTAAGAAGGCTCGGAAGTGCCCTGGCCTCTTGAGGAGTTCCCTAAGCCTCCCCCGAAGACAGAACGAGCCTCCCAGAAGGCCCGAAGGCTTCTGAGAAGCCCCGCAGGCTTCTGATCGGAAACTGGAGCATATATATATATATATATACATATATATATATAAAAATATTACCAGTGGCGGGCGGTTTTTCAATCCCAGGACTTTTTGAGGGTCGGGGACGACGTCGGGGTGGTGTGGTGTATACTTGTTCCCCGTGTGGGGAAGCAGCGAAGAATGTATACACCAGGATGCCGTATACACCAGAATCCGCGTTCCTGTGCGAATTTCGGCGCAGGGTCAGAAAAAGCGTCGGTGTATAGAGTTCTTTGGACGCCCGAAATGGGTACGGAAAGAATGGGTACAATGCACAACAGCAGTTCCTGTTCCTGTTCATTCTGAACAGGACTCGCCGTCGGTGTCGCCGCGGCCTGTGCCCATTTGAGACAGAAGGCCGCCTGCCCAACAGCGGCCGCTGTTGGTTTGGGACAGCATCTGTTGTTGAGCATTGTGCCCGTTCTTTCCGTACCCATCTCGGGCGTCCGAAAGCTCGCTTCCCTATCTGAGAAGGCCTCCTCCCTCCCGCCTCCCCCCCCGTCGCTCGCCGCCGCTCCGCGCGAGCCCTCCGAAGAGGTCGGCCCTCCTCCCTCCTCCCCCTCCTCCTCCTCCCCCTCCTCCTCCTCCTCCTCGAGGGGGCCTCGTGGTCGCACGCCTCCTCCTCCCCCTCCTCCTCCTCCACCTCTCCCTCCTCCTCCTCCTCCTCCTCCTCCTCCTCCTCCTCCTCCTCCTCCTCCTCCTCCTCCTCCTCCTCCTCCTCCTTCCTCCTTTCTCCTTCCTCCTCCTCCTCCTCCTCCTCCTCCTCCTCCTCCTCCACGCGTGGCAGTCGGAATGCATGTCTCGCAAAGTGCCTACTCGCAAAGTGCTTACTCGCAAGCGTCCGAAAAGCGCATGTCTGCTGTGATGTAATATGTATCGTAGGTCCCCCGCGGGGGATCCAGGCCATTTGCGAGTTGTTTCTTTGCGAGTAGTGGAATGCGCTCGTCGAATGTCGAGGTGGCACCCGAGGGTCGCGGCGTTCAGTTCCGAGAGCGCCTCGAGCAGGTCTTGGTCTCGTCGGGAGCCGCTCCCGCGAGGAGCGAGATGGTGGCCTTCGGGCCGCTTCCCTTGACGGAGAAGGGGTTGCCCCGAGTGCTCGCCGGGCACTGGTTTTTGACCCCGCCCGATGCAGATGTCTCCTTCTCTGAGCGGTCCGCTCCCGCTGGGTTGGGCCCTCTTCGACGCCCCCTCGTCTCCGTCCTCGCCTTAGTCCCCAAGCGTGGCTGATGAGCTGCTTCAGCTACGATTCCGCGTCCCATCGTGGGCAGGGAGCCGCTCTACCAAGCTGCAGATGCCCTACTCGCGCAGCTGCGGGGGCCAGGTCGCGGTGCCCTTGGCCATTAGCGCGGTGTCGTCCCGCTTACGCTCCAGCGACCGGAGCCCGGCGGCTGCTGGCGGCTGCACCGCGTACGCTGCACAACATCGTTTTCACCACATAGTTTACATCTCATGCCGTACACATGCGCCACAATGCTTGCACAAAATAAGTTGCGCCACGCAGCTTGCCCATTATATATATATATATATATATATACATACATACATATATTCCTCTTCCTATATTTTTACATGCCGGGGGGGGGGGAAATCATCCCCCTCCCCAAAAAATACTGTACCCCCTGGATTTGGGGTTCTCGGGCTCCCTTGGACGTCCTTGGAAAAGGTCACCCGGCTTTCCGGGTCTCCACAAACGCCTTGCCAGCAGACCCAGAGCGATCCGAGGAATCATCAGAAAGGCCCAAGGCAGGCCCCAGACAGCACAAGAGCGCTCCAAGAGGGACTCCAATTGCGTTAGGACGGCCCAAAAGACCCCCAAGGCACCCCAACAAGCTTTCCAAGGGGCCTTCAAAGCACAAACATCGTCCCATTCCCTTCGTAAATCTTTCAATTTTAGCATATTCGCCTTTCGGATTTCAAGACGGCTTCAAAGCCCCCGAGATCGCCTCAAGACGCCCCAAAACCCCCCAAGAAAGCTTCAAGACGGCCGAGCTGGGCCACACGATCGCCCACGAGAGCCCCAAGACAGCCCATAAATGGAACCAAGAGGCCCCCCAAGGGCTCCCAGCACAGACCCAAAAGGGCCATGGGAGGTCCACGGAAATGCCGAAGATGGGTCCAAAGGGGGCTCCAGCGGGCCCAAGCTCCCCAAGACGGCCCAAGAAGGCCCCAGGACGGCCCATGAAGGCGCCAAAACGGCCCACGAGGGCCCCGAAAACACTCCCACGATGTTTCCGAATGCCAACATAAAGACCCCCAAGGCACCCCAAAAAGCTTTCCAAGGGGCCTTCAAAGCACAAACATCGCCCCATTCCTTGCGTAAAACTGACAATTTTAGCATATTCGCTTTTTGGATTTCATCAGCTTTCAAGACGGTTTCAAAGCCCCCGAGATTGCCTCAAGACGCCCCAAAAGGCCCTTTCATCAGCTTTCAAGACGGTTTCAAAGCCCCCGAGATTCAACGCCCCAAAAGGCCGAAGAAAGCTTCAAGGGCCGAGCCGGGCCCCACGAGAGCCCCAAGACAGCCCATAATGGAACCAAGAGGCCCCCCAAGGGCTCCCAGCACAGACCCAAAAGGGCCATGGGAGGTCCCCGGAAATGCCCAAGATGGGTCCAAAGGGGGCTCCAGCGGGCCCAAGCTTCCAAAGACGGCCCAAGAAGGCCTCAGGACGGCCCTTGAAGGCGCCAAAACGGCCCACGAGGGCCCCGAAAACACCCCCACGATGTTTCCGAATGCCAACATAAAGACTCCCAAGGCACCCCAAAAAGCTTTCCAAGGGGCCTTCAAAGCACAAGCATCGCCCCATTCCTTGCGTAAAACTCACAATTTTAGCATATTCGCTTTTCGGATTTCATCAGCTTTCAAGACGGTTTCAAAGCCCCCGAGATCGCCTCCAGACGCTCCAAAAGGCCCTCTAGAAAGCTTCAAGACGGCCGAGCCGGGCCACACGATCGCCCATGAGAGCCCCAAGACAGCCCATAATGGAACCAAGAGGCCCCCCCAGGGCTCCCAGCACAGACTCAAAAGGGCCATGGGAGGTCCACGGAAGTGCCCGAGATGGGTCCAAAGGGGGCTCCAGCGGGCCCAAGCTCCCCAAGACGGCCCAAGAAGGCACCAGGACGGCCCATGAAGGCGCCAAAACGGCCCACGAGGGCCCCGAAAACACCCCAACGATGTTTCCGAATGCCAACATTCATGGATTTTGTTCCCATGACATCTCACATTGTGACCCAGTCGTTGAGGGTCTCGTGGCATGCAGCGAAAATGCCCGAGGATGCCCCGTACGAGTTGCATATGCATGGTCATACCCTTACACACATAAATTTATATGTACAGATGTACGCTGTATACACATACAAACATGTTAGTATAATGCATGCACCTAGACATTTTACGGAACTTGCATGCATGCGCGCGCGTGTATATACATGCATGCGCGCATGTACGCACGCACGCATTCCGCTTGCGTGCAGAACTCAAAGGACCAAGGTGCATGGCGCGCAGCGCCAATGCAGTCTTGTGTATATATATATATATGTGTATGTATCTATAAATGTGTATATACATATATTGATATATATATATATATATATATATATATAACTGTGGGGGTGTTGCAACTCATCTTGCAGAACACGTTGCTCTCTCTCTCTCTCTCTTCTTTTGCTTTCTCCACCCGCCAGCTCACGCGTGACCAACATATTGCTGGCACTATTTGCGTTCTGATGGCTCTATCACCGCGGTGGTCACGGATGATCACCTGAGGCTGGCTGTGTCCTGGAGAAAGGTCCTGGGGCCGTGCGTTTGGCATGCATGCCCCGTCGCGTTGGGGACCGTACTTTGTTCATGCAGATCCCCTGCGTGGTGCTCTGGAGGCGCGGACTCCACTTTTCCCTCCCATTCCCGCTCTCCCTCCCCGCCTTTGGCTCCCGACCCCTCGCCCCGCTCTCGACCCCGCCCCCGGAAGGCGGCGATGAAAGGCGGCGGCAGTGTGGAGGCCGCGCTCAGGAGGCCACCGCGTCCCGCTCCGGCCGGTGCTCCTCCGTGCGCTAGGGTTTTCGCTCACGGCGTGCTCGCGTGCATCTCGGTCGAGCGAGGTGTTCATGTCAGCGCGAGGTCTTTCGGCCCGGTGATCCTCGTCTGTTCACTGTTTTCCGATCTTCGGCCCTCGCCCACCCCCCTCCTCCTCCTCTTCCTCCTCCTCCTCCTCCTCCTGCTCCTCCTCCTCCTCTTCCTCCTCCTCCTACTTTTCCTCGTCCTCCTCCTCCTGCTTCTTCTTCTCCTCCTCCTGCTCCTGCTCCTGCTCCTTCTCCACCCCCTCGTGGAGTGGAGCTTGGCTGTTTTTTGGCGCCTGTTACGAGCAGGCGGAGTCTCCCCCTCAGGACGCACTGTCACATGCAGTCGCCCTAAGCAGAGGTCTGGAGCCACACCCCCTCCCCCCCCCCTTCCGCCCAATGTCGAAACGCCGAATGAAACAACGTTCACCTGGACGCTGCATGTTCGTTACTACCTTGCGTTCCCGCCCACGAAATTCAGCAACCAGGTTGGGACCACGGCTCTGGACGACATGCAGCAACCAGGTTGGGACCAGTTCTCTGGTTGTGATTCTCCGCGATGTCGTAGGTTTTTCGCAGCGTCGGATCTCAAGGAAAACAGGAAGGGCCCTGGAGGAAAGTGGTCCTGGGGATGTTTCTTGCTGCTTTCGGCTTACGAGGGCCCTTCTCGGTTCTCGGGCCCGAGGGCTGCCAAGGGACGACCCAGGATGGCAGGGCTCCCTGTGGGAAAAGATGGCCGTCATGACAGCCCAGGATGGCTCAAATGTTGCCCATGTCGGGCCCTGGAGGCCCCACGGTGACCCCTCCAAGACGGTCCCTTGAGGCACTGAGACGGCCTCACTATGGCCCAACTGGTCGTCCGAGGCAGCTCAATGGAATTGCACGAAGAACCACGGTGGTCAAGACTCTTCCATCGTTGGCCCCCGCGACGCCAACGCCACTGCAAACCTCCTGGTTGATGAGATATTCTTGCTTCCAGCTTCTTGGGGCTCAGATGGCCCGATGATGGGTTCAATACGTCCCTGCATGTTTGCAAGATCACCTCGAGAAGCCCCATTTGTGGCTGCCGCTTGGTTGCCTTCAGGCGGCACCCTTCTTGACTCGGTCCTTGTGCGGCTCTGCCATCGCACTTTCCATCTCCACCTCTCTGTCTCGCTTTCCCTGTCTCTCTCTGCCTCTATATTTCTTGTGGTGGTCTCTCTCTTTCTTTCTCCTCGATCTCTTTCTCCTGCTTGCTCCCTCCTTCGCCTCGCCGTCTTTGACTGGCCTTGTCCTCTCCTGGATTCGTCTTTGTCTTCGTCATCATCCTTCTCACTGATCTCTGCTTCTTGCACTGCCTCCCCTTCTCGCCGCGTATTTTATATATATGTATATATACATATCGATCAAATTGCCCATGCCTTCATTTGGTTGTCCGTTCTTCCCTCCTCCCTGCCTCTGTCTCTCTCGTTCTCTTTCTGTCTTGCTCTTGTTTGGCAGCTGTGGCTCCCACTCCTCCTGTAAGGACCCGGAATGAAACCCAGAGGTACATTTTTGGCACCAGAAAGAAGAGCCTTCGCCCTGTCCATCCCTGCTTCTTTCCGCCCTCGGCACGGCGCTCTCTTCTGCCCGTGCAGCGGGCCTTCGGCCACGCTCCATGGAGTGGAGTGTGGCCAAGCGACCCGCGACCGACGATCGCACGGCCCACCGCTCCTTTTCCCAGGGCGTCGCCCACGCCCAGAGGTGCCCTCGGGGCAGGGACTCGCAAAAGTTTACACGGCCAGAACGCGCAGCACACTAGCCCGAAACACGTTTACCGGACCTCCAGATTGAGGCAGCGGAAAAAGTTTACATGGTCTTCGCCCAGGAACAGTTTACAGGACCCGGAAATTTAACCATCTTTTGCCCGACCCCGACCCTCGTCTAGGCGAATGCATAGACGATGCACCCCATGGAGGCGACGGGCTAGGCTTCTGTCAACCAGGCGATGGTCTTCGGAAGGAGCAATTTGCGGATGGGGCCAACCGAGGGGTCACTGAAAAAGTTGAAGTTAAACAGTTTGAGTGAGCTTTCCGCTCCTTATTATTCCTTTCACCGTCATAAACGTAGTCATTGCACCGATGCGTGGGAGACGCCAGCTTCACGTTCAAAGCGCACGCGTTTGCATCAAGTTGCTGTGGTGGAGTTGGGTAGGACGAGGATGAGGAGACCGAGCTCCGACGCCCGAGGACTCATTCCCTGCACCTTATCGCGCGCTGACAAGGCACGGGGAAAGGATTGTGCGGCCTGAAGCTCCAGACATGCTGCGCAGGTTGTCCATCATCCGGTTGGATGCAAGAGGTTTGTGCCAATCTGCCGAACCCCGGAAGACAAGATCTGGGGCTTCCGATGTCGTGTGTTGTTTGGCGCTTTCCGTCGTGTTGCCTGCGGGCAAATGCTTGAGGATGCGTCCTCCTCTTCCGAGTCTGTCGCGTGGCCTCTTGGGGGCCTCTTGGAGACCAAGGGGGCGGCTCCCAAGTTGTGTTGTTCAGGGCTTCAGGGGTGCTTCTTGGTGCCTCTCGCCTCTCGTCCGGCCTGGTCTCGCCTGGGGGCCGTTCAAGGGCATCCACGGGGCTCGTGTGGGCTTCCTGGGGGCCTCTCGGGGCAACCCTCCTCCTCCTCCTCCTCCTCCTCCTCCTCCTCCTCCTCCTCCCTCCTCCTCCTCCTCCTCCTCCTCCTCCTCCTCCTCCTCCTCCTCCTCCTCATCCTCATCCTCATCCTCATCCTCATCCTCATCCTCCTTCTCCGCCTTCTCTTCCTCCTCCTTCTCCTCCCTTCCTCCTCCTCCCGCCCCTCCTCCTCCCCCTCCTCCTCCTGCTTCTCCTCCTCCTCCTCGTCCTCCTCCTCCTCCTCCTCCTCCTCTTGTGCTGTCTCGGAGCCCTCTTGGGGTCCTGTTGGGCTGTCTGGGGCGCCAGGCGACCATTTGAAGCCGTTTTGGGCCCCTTTTGGAGTCAACTTGGGCCGTCACGGGGCCGCCGTCTCGGGGCTCTCGTGGGGGCCTCTTTGCCCGGATTGGGTCGATTTTGAAGGCCTCTGTGGCGGTCTTGGTGGGCGCTTGGAAACACAAAACATATTATGCAGAACATGGCAGTTTTCCCATGGTGATAATGCGAGGTTTGCTTGCCGGGGCCTTCGCCAGGGTCGTCCTACAGCTGTCCAAAGGCATCTCTGATGTTTCCAGAGCTGTTGTGAGACCACATTGGGACGTCTTGGGGCCATCTGGGGCCCTGCGGAGAACATTGCGAGGCAACCTGGAGGCTGCCGAAGTCATGCCGAAGCCGTCGGAGCCCATGCGGGAGCAGGTCGGTCCGCCGGCACGTTTGCCCCCTCTCCAAATTCCGAGCATGTTTTTTTGGGCGGAGGGCAGAGGGTGAAGTCTGAAATGCAGTTTCGTTTGATTTTCGAGGTTTGAATCTGCAAGAGGTGAACCGCAAGACGGATGTAACTTCGAGGTGCAAAAGCCCATATGGATTTCACCCTGAGCCCTCCACCCTAAGAAAATGCTAAGGAATTGGAAGGGCCCGAGCTTCAGGGGGACGCCGTACGCCCCAAGTGATCTGCGAATTTCAACACACGATGCCATAGTTCCCCAGACAGCGCTTGCACTCAGGGGTTCTCGCTCGTTTTTACTGGGCTCGTCTGCCGCCCGGGCCGGCTTGTCCCCGCCCCGTCACTGCCACGTCGCCGCCCGTTGCCGCCTCGTCGCCGCCCCGTCGTTCGCCCATCGACGCCGCTTCGTCGCCCCATTGCACTGCAGAAACACTACGTTGCGCTGCAGTCGCATTGCGTTGCACTGCAAGCGCACTGCGCCGCAATCGCATTGCGTAGCTCACATATTATATCTCACACCGCATAGGTTGCACCACATAGCTTACACCACACAGACTCCACTGCACTGCTTGCACCACTTAGATTGCACTGCGTAGCTTACACCACATATATCGCACCACATGAGTTGCACCACCTGCATTGCACTACGAAGCTCACACACCATAGATCGGACCACATAGACCACAACAATAAGCGCACAACATTGCTCACGGGTTGCGTTACGCAGCTTGCACCACATGGGTTGGACCACATGTATTGCACCACATAGATTGCATCACATGGTTTCACCATCTATTTAGCACCTATCTTGCACTACGTAGCTCACACTCCCTAGGTTGCACCACCAAGAATGCACTACACAGCTTGCACCACATAGCTTTTACCATATATCGTGCACCGCCTACATTGCATTACCTAGTATGATAGAATGCACTTTTTTGCGCCCACCCCTACTAGCATGTCATGAACTGCATCTAGAAATGTCAGTGCGACATGGTCCGCGCTTAATTGACACATTGGCACGGTGCTGCTCACGGGCCGGAATTAACAAAACCATGACCCTGCATCAGCCGATGTAGGAAGTATGAAGAAAGCAGTTGTATACATGCAGTGTGCCCAGTGTTCATGATAGTGTAAGGATATGTGGTCCGAACACCTTCTCGATGCGACACCAGACGCACGCATTGCCTACGCCACACTGGCGCGATTGGACATGCAGACAACACCGGATCGTTCCTGGTAGGCATTTGAAAGTTTGTGTGTGCAAGTTTGTCGATCACACCAAGATCGCACATCAGCATGCCATTGATAGCACGTATCGCTTAGTTCTCATACGTGTCTCTTTACCCAGTCGTACCTGTTGCACATTGCACAATGCAAGACCAACCACCGCCTGGAACCGGTTGAACGGATCTGGAACACATGTTTATGACACAGCAGTGGCAGTATTGACTATCATGCAGCCGACCCCGCGGATGCTTGAGTGGTGCTACTGCACTTCTGTTCATTGGATCGCGCCGGGATCTGTGTGACACATTTTGGCGGCCGCCGATGCCTGTTTGCCGTGCAGTGGGCCTGGGCATGTCAGGGCCTCTCCGGTCCCCCAAACCTCTCCCCGCCCACTGCCCGCCGCGGTGTGGTGGCATCGGTCCCCCCTGGGCAGTGGATCTGTGTGAGTTCCGGCCTCGGTGCCCTCCTCCTTCCCTCTCTCCTGCTTCCTCGCCCTGTCCTCCTTCCTCCTCCCCCTCTCCTCCCTCCTCCCTCCCCCTGTCCTCCTCCCTCCCTCCTCGCTCCTTCTCCTCTCCTCGCTCCCTCTTCCTCCCCGTGTCCTTCGCCCCCCCCTGTCCTCCCCCTTCCCCCCCACCTGTCCTTTTCGTCCTCCTGTCCTGCTCCCGTCTCCTAACCGATCCCCATTCCCACCTGGCCGTGGTAGCTCAGCCCCACTATCCCCGTCCCCCCGTGGGGGGATATCCCCTTCGAGGCCCGACGGAAACAGCATATGCCCCAATCTGGGAGGGCCCACCGGCCAGTGGGACCAAGGCCACGCCAGTTGGGACAGGGATGGGCCGAACGGAGCTCATCCTCCACCTCCACCTCCCTCCCCGCTCCTCCCCTGGATCCTGCCGCCCTCTCCTCTCCCCCCCTTCCTCCTCCTTCCCTTCCTCCTCCTGCCCTTCCTGCCTCCCTTCCTCCTCCTCCCTCCTACTCCATCCCCCCACCCTCCTTCCCTCCCTCTCCGTGTCCGCCCGTCGCCCGCCAGGGTCGCCCGGAACCTTGGCCGCCGGCCAGAGGATGTGTCTCCGCATATCGAGCAGCTCAGGCCCCCCTCCCCGCGCGGGCAGTGGGGAGAGGGGGGGGAGGAGAGGAGGAGGAGGAGGAGGAGGAGGAGGAGGAGGAGGAGGAGGAGGAGGAGGAGGAGGAGGAGGAGGATAGGACCAGTGGAAACCCAAGAGCCATCAACGGTGCTGGAGTAAACCCTCCCTCCAACCTCCCTCTTCATAGGCCCCTGCATGGGTTCATTTCCACTGGGGGAACTGCCTCGTTGTGAAACAACCGTTTGAAGACCCTGAAGCATGCCAAAACATAGTTGCAAATCCTAAGAACGAGTGTGCGCGGCGCCAAGGAGAGAGCCACAGTTTGAACATGCGCCGCCCTCAATCCGTGAAACTCTGGCAACGTACAAAAACGAATGTGCGCGGCGCTAGGGCGAGAGCCACAGTTTGAAAACGAATTCGCGTGGCGCTCAGGCGATAGCCACATTTTGAAAACGGCCCGCCCTCCATCTGTGAACTAGTTGCAATTTTTCAGCTTCCGGGTCATACATGAAGCCGCCTTCCGTCCGTGAAACCCCTCATCAGTTGACCCGCCCTTCATCCGTGAAATTGCGGCGATTTCTTACGACGAAAGTGCGTGGCGCTGAGGCGATAGCCACATTTTGAAAACGACCTGGCCTCCATGCGTGAAGCCCTCGCATGTTTCATCGGACTTTCACGGGACGGATGCGTGCGGCGTGAAGGCGAGACCCGCATTTTGAAAACAACCCGCCCTACGTCTGTGAAACTAGTTTTCGATATGCTCGAGCGTATGAATGGTGAGGATGTCGCAAGTTCTAATATTCGAGCGTATGAATGGTTCTAATATTCGAGCGCCTACGAGACGTCGCAAGTTCTAATATTCGAGCGTATGAATGGTGAGGATGTCCCAGGCGAAACACCCAGCACGCCCTTTCGACCCGCCTCGGGTGGGACAGGGAGCTGATTTAGAAGAAGGAGGACTGGAGGAGGCGGAAATGCTGCAGGAGGAGGGGGAGAAACGAGGGATGGGGGGCAAGAGGGGGAGGAGCAGGAGGGAACGGTGAGGGGATGGGGAGAGGGAGGAGGACGGGTGAGGGGCGGTCAGAGGAGGACACGAGGAGGGCGAGAGGGGGGAGGAGGAGGATGAGGAGGAGGCGAAGGAGGAGGAGGAGGAGGAGGAGGAGGAGGAGGAGGAGCAGGATCAGGATAAGGAGGAGGGGGAGGAGGAGGAGGAGGAGGAGGAGAGGAGGAGGAGGAGGAGGAGGAGGAGGAGGAGGTGGAGGGGGAGGACCTTGGGGAGGACACGAGCAGGAGGAGGAGGAGGAGGACGAGGAGGAGGAGGAGAAGGAGGAGGAGGAGGGGGAGAAGGAGGCGGAGGATTCGACGAGCAGGAGGAGGGGAGGAGGAGGAGAGGGAGCTACCCCCGGCGCGGAGCGGGCGCCAGCTCGCGCTGGGCCGGCTTGGGCGCGAGGTGCACAGGCCTTCTGCGCCCGCGGGCCGCCAACGGTGCGGCCGCGCACCACCTGGGAGGGCCTCGTCGAGCAGTGGCGAGGGCGTCTCCGCCGAACCCGGTGGTGCCAAGGACGCATTCCCGACGCATCCACAGGGCATGAGATGCGTCATCGAAGAAGTGGTCGCTTGCCCCCCCCCCCCCCCCCCCCCCCCAGGTGATGGCAGCGATCGTACGTACGGCTGATGGGGGAAGCCCTGCCCCTGCAAGTTTGACTGTTATGAGCACCCCACGCGTTCCAATGTATGGTTGGCTAGCTGGGCCGCGATGTGGCGGTCCATGGAGCTAGTGAGTGAATGAATGAGGGCGGGAACGAGGAGGAGGATGTGAGGAGGAGGGGCAGGGCGAGTAGGAGGAGGACGAGTGTAATTATCATCGTTCGTAGGCGGCCAGCGCTGAAGAAGTAGCTACTCGGCAGGCATTATGAATGTCCAGTCGCCCTTGACACTTGGAAGCCGCTTGCCTCTTATCATGTAGGTGTGATGTTCTGGTAGAGGGTGTGGTTCGCTCTTTGTTTCCCGATAGGCCTGCTCAATGGTTTATCTTTATATATATACATAGAATGATGAACAAGTTGGCTTTAGGCATACGCCCGGCGATCGGTTTTCCTACTTTTTGGGGGCCAGGTTCGATTGGTATAGTTTCTTTATTGCATTTGTTTTTGGAAGGCCAGCTTTCCCCAGGTTCCCCCGGTGTCTAGATCTTGTTATCTCTTTGCCTGAAGAGGCGTTCCGTGGAGTGCCAAGCAACGCAAAATTTATCCCAAACAATGCCAAATAATGCTAAGCAACGTTGAGCAATGCGAGGAATGCCACGCAATGCAATCAAGTGCCAAGAGAAGCGCCAAGTGATGCCAGACACCGCCCAGCAATTCCAAGCAAAGCCAAGCAATGCAACACAATGGCAACACATGCCAAGCACTGCAACACAATTCTTGACCCTTCGCGTAGCCCCTCCAGCCTTTCGTGCACCTCCGGCGGTTACTAGCCGCCGATGGTACCCCCTCCGTGATCGCCGCGCGGCCCGCCCGGGCTTGTCTCACCTCCCGTTGTTTTCTTGTCGTTGTCTCTCTTCTCCTCTCTGTCGTGTGCTATTCAGGCTGCTGCTAGTTAGCTGTAGCTATTGGACGGCGCGCGGCACTTCCGCTTGCGCTCGCGAACAAAAAACGTATCCCCATCAGCCCATCCAGACACGATCGGAGGCGTTCTTGACGCCTCTTGGAGGCTATCGTGAGCCATGCTCGGCTAGAGGCTGTCGAAGGCTATCCTCAGTCGCGCTCAATTATCTTGGTCCGTCTTGCGGCTGTCTTGCGGCCTCTTGGAGGTCTGTCGGAGGCTATCTTGAGCCATGGTTGATCTCCTGGGACCATCGGGGGGTAGAAGGGTGAAGAGCAGGAAGAAGAGGAAGAAGGGAGAATGAGGAGGAGGGGGAAGAAGAGGAGGAGGATGGGAGGACGAGGAGGAGGAGTGCGGTTCGAGGACGATGAGGAGGAGGAGGGAGGAGGGAGGAGGGAGGAGGCAGGAAAGAAGGAGGGAATGAACGCACGATGACAAGGAGAATGAGAATTCGGGCTTTGGAGGTTTATTCTGTGAGGTTCTTGAAGCACGACGAAGGCCATCTTCGGGGCTCTCTGAGGGCCCCCTGTGGGGCACTCTTGGGGCCCTCTTGGGGCTCATGTTGGGGCTCCTGGGGCCTCTCTTGGGGCTCTTGGAGGGAATTGGGGGCCTGTTGGGGCCGTACTGGGCCACATGGCTCAGAAAGAAGGGGGGGTAAAGTCAGCCCATCGGATGGTCAACAACTGCGTCTTGAGGTCCTCGTTTGGCGCTTCCGGGGCGCTCTTGGGCCGTCTTGGGGCCATCTTGAGACTTCAAAAACCCATCGGAAACGAACAGGCGAGAAGGCACGCATCATTGATTTCTCCTAGGTGTGTGAAGGAATTGGGCCTCTTGGAGGGTCCTTGAAGGTTTCGGAGGAAGCCGTCTTGGGGCCGTCTTGAGGCCTCTTGGATGTGTGTCGGAGGCTATCTTGAGCCATCATGGGGTTTCTTGAGCCGTCTTGAAGGCCATCTCAGGCTCTCTGGGGCCTTCTTGGAGCCATCTTGGGCCTCCTTGGGCGCTCTAACTACCCGCGCCTCCTCCCTTCTCCAAGGCTCAGGGGAAGGGGTAGGGGGAGGGGTCAAGACACCCCCCAGATAGCAAGCCGTCTAGCTCACTCCCACCCGCCCTCCCAACACAGAAGTAACACCCGCGCCGGAGCATGTTCAGCGGTCGTCTTTGGATGGGCATCTACTGGGAACCAAAACCGACCCCATGTGCGCGACGTTGGGGCGAGCTGCGCCACGCGTGCCAGGCGTGCCACGCGCGCCAGGCACCCTTGGGGTCCGAGCGTGCCAGGCAGGCCTGGTGCGCCAGATGCGCCACGTGCTCCGCTTGCGCCAGGTGTGCCGCATACTCCAGCCGCGCCCGGTGCGCCACGTTCGGGGCACGTGCAGAGTGTGTCAGGTGCGCCTGCGCACGTGATAGCACACATCCGGAAACATGTCGGCCCCCACCATTCTTGTCGAAAACCAAGGCCCGTCATTGTGTCTGTGGGCCTGCGCACAGCAGGCATTACGCCACCACCCACCCCCGCCGCCCCTCGCAAAAACCACTTGACAGTGATCGCGGGGTGGCCGCGCATGATACAGATTTATCCGCGAGGTGGTAACCCTGCGCACAGCAGGCAATATGATGACACCTCCGCCGTCCGTATCAAAAACCATACAACGTGCTCGCGGGCCTCACGAGCATGACTCAAGAATTTGCCCCAAAGTGTACTTTTGTATTGTTCTTTGACCGGGATGGTGCGAGGGGTGGGGCGCATCCGGTTGGCCGCGCATGCTCCAAGTGTGAAGGCAGAGTACGTTCTGCATTGTTTTCTGAGAGGGATGGTGGGGGGGCGGTGAGCATGGTGTCCTCATGGTTCCTGATTGGCTGCTGGTCGCCTGGGGGAGGGGGTGTATATTAATAGGGAATCATGAACAGCCCCTCCCGCGAGCAGGGGAAGGAGGATTTTCGGGGCAGAGAGAAGACACAACTCGTTAGACCACTTACGCCCAGAGGGCAAGTGGGACTTCAAACAATGCCACGTAATGCAAAACAATGGTAAACACTTCCAGGCAATGCTAACCCATGCCAATCAACGCCAAACAATTCACAGCAAAGCCAAGCGACGCCAAGGGATGCGAAGCAGTGCCAAGCAATGTCTTAGCCAGGCCATGCCTTCATGTCCTTGTTCCTTGCTTATGAAGCTTTCCCCGACTTGGGGTCGCCCCGCTTTCATGTAATATCGAGGCTTCCGTCGACGGCAAAGTCAGGAGAAGGGAGACGGGGATGGCGGAGTGGCGGAACGGGGATGGAGGAAGGGACGAGGAGGAGGAGCAGGAGGAAAGGACGCGGACGAGGCGGAGGAGGAGGAGGAGAGGCGAGGCGGATGGTCACCGAATTTGTCTCGGCTGCTCAGGTCAGGAGTTTTGTAGAGAGGCCCGGGTGGGAGGTCGTCTTCCCTCTCCTCGCCTCGGGAACGTATGAGAGACTCCGATATCGCCAGAGCTCGGGTCTGCCGACGTGTTTGTTGGCGGGCCCGCCCTGAATTTTGACCGTCCAGTTTCCGTTGGAGGATTGCGCCAGGATTTCGCGACAAATTTCAGACCGGGTCTCGCAATTTTTTCCGGACGGCCCCGTGAGGCCAGCCTGAGTCCCCCGAGCCCGAGCCTCACGTGTCCCCGATCATCCGCCTTTTGCCCCTTTCTCCTGCGCTCTTCCTGTGCCCCCCCCCCCCGTTCTCCAATTATCACTCCTCATGCCTGTTCGCCGCCTGCCCCCTTTCCAAGGACGTATCCCTCCTGCCCAGGTTCAACCCTTGCATTCATGTACGCTGCCTCGAAGAAGGGACAACAGCATAAGCATAAACTGTTGGCGCTCCGCGCGGATTTCTTAGATCCGCGCGGAGCGCCAAACATTTGTGTTCATGCCGATTGTAAAGTTCAACCCTTGCAGTCATGTCCACTGCCTTTGCCCGCTCCCGTCGGACATCCACACAGTTCAGCGCGCCAACTTACGCGCAAGAGGCGGAGTTTCGTTGGGCCGGCCACGGGCCTCAGCACGCATATGGAATGCGACATGCACGATCACGAGCAGCTGACGTGGGTGGCTTCAACACGGGTGGAAGGTGCACCTCTACCATCAACGCGATCTTCTACCAAAAGAACGAGCCAGCAACGGCATGCTTACGTTCGGAGAAGAAATCCCATAAACATTAACCTTTGTCGTTTCGCGCGGATTTCTTGGATCTGCGCTGGAGCGCGCTTGCGCGCTCCGCACGCCAGGGAGGAGGGTTCAGCGCAGATCCAAGGAAGTCCGCGCGGAGCGCTGAAAAGTGTAAGTTTATGCCACTTCTTCTCCTTCTAGAGCCAGCGGTGGCATGCTTACACCGTCCAACCAAACAGTGGATCCAGGTGTGGCAACGCGAACGACCGGCACACGATCGGCTACCGCACGGGTGGCGTGAGAGTTTGCAGCGCTTCCAGCAGATGCGCGCACGTTGCAAATTGAGTGCAGTATCACGTATGAGGTCCAATGGGGGCTTTCATGTTCACCCTCCAGCAGCTAAGGTGGGCACACCAAGACGATGAAGGGGAAGATCCCTGAGGCGCTGTCTGGAAATTCACAAGTGATCGGGGCACACATCATGCGCGTAGTGGCCAATAACATGATATGGACCAACAGTTAATGGAAAGCACGAGTAACCATTCACAGGGCCATGGTGCGCAGCAAGACACAGATTCACCTCTTACGCCAAGCGGATCGAGGACGGAATTCAGGAACACTAGAACTTGTTTCGTCTGGCGCAGTATGGCAGGGCGAAAGTTGTGGACAAGCTGGCTACACCACCGGCTGAATCTGCACACGTCGTGGTGAAGCTGATATATTTCAGCGCCCGTTTTACGAGCTCGAGGCGAACGGGGATATCGACACCGAGACCGCCACCAAGTCCCAGAAGTTATGCCAGATGGCTATGGAAAAGATGTTCACGGACACTGATAGCGAGGCATTCTGGCTACGTTGGCTTCGCGGCATCGCAGTCTTGCCCATGGCGCGCCGGCCTGAGGCGAGTGGGTTGGAGGATATCGAGCGGCCGCACCGAGAGGGCTCATGGTGGACATCGAGCACATGGTGGCTAGAAGGACCCAAGCGCGCCATGCGACTTCACTCGGCGGCTCAGGCACCAGCAACGACATGCGCATCAACAGAGTCGGCTTTGGCCTCGCACCGCAAGCAGGGGGTCATTGTACGTACCGTTTTCGGTGATCACACTGGGCGTGACAACCTTCAGGCGGACGGCCATCTTGTGGAGGCCGCGGAAGCAGCACACTCGCAGGGATAGCTTATATTCGGGACCCACAGGCACGCCTTGCTCACTCCTCACGGCGGAAGCAAGGGGTGCCGGCCCGACTGGAAGATGTTGACCCGATGTCGTTGACATGGCTGAATGACTAGGAGACTGTACCTGTCGACCAGTTGTCACTGACAAAGCTGGGCAGACAGATGGACCTAACCACACGGGGTACATTGGCAAAGTGGGCGGCGAGCCGACAGTTCCAGCAGCAGAACATGCAGCGTTGCTATGGGCACTCTTGCTGACCAGAGGGCCAATCATCATGCACACGGACCGCCAACAAACTCACAACGTTTGGGCTCAAAAGTACCACGGCTTGCCTCAAGGTGCTATGAAAGGCTTGTGGCAGAGGAATGGCCAAGTATTGCAGCGCCGGCCACGAGGATACCATGGCATCCACAGAACGAGGTGCTTCCCCCACCCGGACAAGCAAATCCGACAATTGCCAAGCCAGGCCAGGCCCCCTTGAGGTATGTCTTGGGAGCGAGGTGGCGGATACCCCGGACCAAGAGGGTGCCGAAGGGACACAACATGAGATCAGACGTGAGGGACAGCAGTTTGCATCTATCGAGGTGCGACTCATCAGGAGCCAGCAGCGTGCGGCTGCAACCGCCAATGATAATTGCTAAGACGTGGACTCGGCGAAGCCCATGCGGAGGAGGCCCACATGGAGGCTTACGTTAAACAGCGCCTGCTGCAACCCAAGACGGGTCCAGGACATCCGATGACAAAAGCGCCAGTGGGCATGCCAAGAGTGCCAGGATTCACCAGGCACATACATCGTGATCGATTGGAAGGAGGCAAGCGTGCGCATCGAGAGTCAGTGCGAGGCGCATCCGGCTGTCCACGGACACGCCGTGCAAATGTTCCACAGCGCGATGATAGATATCCAAGACACGGACATCCAACACAGCCACCACGTCGTTGTCGCCCACGGCCAGTTCTTGTGCTGGGGATGTGCGTTGGTGGTTTCGCATACTAGTGATGGACGAGGGCGTTTGGGTCTAATGGCCGACGGCTGCACGGACAGAATCACCATATGGAGTGGCTAGCACGTCCTCAATCGGCTGCGCCAATGGTTATCGCCGACAGCGGCGCAGAACTGGCCTGACGGAGCGGTGCCGCCCAACGGAGACAAGCTTCCACGCGCTGCTGCCGGTCCACACCGAGCTGCGCGACCAGCACGTGGTTGAATGCATGGTTCGCGGGGGGGCGCAGGCGACCTGCCCCCACGCCCTTCGCATACATGTGTATATATACCGCTTTGAAGAGGCAGGGATGTGGAGGGTAGCCGCTCGCGGCTGCTCTCGCGCCCTCTCAAGGAGACTCACGAAAAGGTGTTCAGCCGCGCCCTGGCGACGGGCGCGCGGGCATGCGGCGGCAGCGTCGACCACGGACGCCCCTTGATCCTCGATCCTCGATCCGCATTGCCCCGTGCTGCCCCCCTCTGGTCCGGTCGTCTCCCTCTTACACACGCACCTTCTTGTCTTGTCTCGTGTGATTCGTCCTCCCATCCGCGTTGCCGTGCAGCTCGTCCTCTGATGAAGCAAGGCAATCCTTATTGCAGTCCACGGGATGAATGCATAAGATCAGTGATCATTGACGACCTGTGTGTTGTCCTTCTCGCTTCCTTGTCGTTGTCCTCTTTCCCAGCCAGCCTCTCCCTTTTCATCCTCCCTCTTCGTCCACTCTTCGTCATGGTCGACTTCGTCGTCGCCCTCTTCCTTCTTCTGCGCCCACTCTCGAGCGCAACTTCCTATGGTTGGGGGTGGGCGGGAGGGAGGGGGGAATGGGGAGCAGGGAGGTGGAGCAGGGATCGTGAAGGAGGGGCTCGAGGAAGCATGGGGAGTGCCCGCGCCCGTCCCCCCCTCCCCGCAACCCCAGGCAGAACTGGTACGACGATGTCGCCAGTCTCGCCACGGTCACCCAAGACGACCTGTTAGCGATCGGGCTCCCGCTGAGGATTGCCAAGGAACGACCTCCGCTTGCCAGATCAGTGGTTCTGCATCCCTGGCTCTCCCTATCTCTCTCGCTCTCTCGCTCTCTCTGCTTATCTTCGTTTTTTTTTTTTTTTTTTTGTTTTCTGTCGCTCTCTCTCTCTCTCGCTCTACCTCTCCCCTTCTTACTCTCTCTCTCTCATGATCTTTATCTGCCTCCATCCCTCCCGTTCCTTCTGTCCCTTCATATCCTCTCTTTCTCTCTTGTCATTAATTGCGTTCCCAGCCCTCCTGTGTGTTGGGTCCTCGTTTTAAATTCGCAGCGCCGCGCGTCTCCATCCCTCCTCCTCACCCCTCCTACTCTTCTACGATCATCATCATCATCATCACCATCATCCTCATGATCATCACAAGTAGCATCTTCATCATAACCATTACCGTGTTAAGTGCGTATCACCCCCTTCCACGCTTCTTGCCCCCATAGGAGGTTTCACTGAAGGCTCCAATGACAGGGTTCACACTGTATCCGCCTCCTTTCGACCCACCCCTCACGCGAATCGTAGCCCCATAGGGAGCTACACCGAAAGACACGAATTGCAAGGTATTTCCCGCCCCATGGCGGCACCCTCACATGTTTCGTTGCTCCATGGGGAGCTCCACCGAGGCTCCAATGGCAGGTTCCGCATGGTTACCCGCCCCATGTCGGCACACCTTTCAAATGGTCATGGTCCGATAGTGAGCTCCGCCGAAGGCCCCAGTGGCAGGGTCCGCGTGGTTGTCCGCCCCAATGTCGGCGCCCCCCTCTCACGCGTCGTGGCCACCTAGAGGGCTCCGACGAAGGCTTCAATGGCAGGGCCCGCATGTTTACCCGCCGCCTGCCGGCGCACCCCTCGCATGTTCTGTGGTTGCATAGGGAGATCCACCGAAGGCTTCAATGACAGGGCCCACATGATTCAGGAGGGAAAGAAACACACAGACACAATTAATCGTCGACTCCCAGGAAAATATGCAAAAATATGGGAAGTGGTGGGGAAGACAAAAACCCAGAAAATATGGGAAAATATGGGGGATATTTTTATTTGTGTGTATTTATTTGTGTGTTCCAGTTCCCCTTCAATGATTTCCCGCCCCATGTCGGCACAGCCTTCACACGTTCCGTGGTCCCAGTGGGAGCTCCGCCAAAGGCCTCTGTTGCAGGGTCCGCGTGATTCTCCGCTCCACTTCAGCGCACCTTCCACGCGCTTCGGGGTCCCTTAGGGAGCTCCACCGAAGGTTCCAATGACAGGATCTGCATGATTGTCCGCCAAATGCTGGCGCAGACCTCACACGCTTCGTTGCTCCAATGGGGAGCGCCACCGAGAATCCAATGGCAGGGTCCGCGGGATTACCCACCGAATTTCGGCCCACATCTTACACGTTCGCGGCCCGATAGTGAGCTCGCCGAAGGCCCCAGTGGCAGGGTCCTCATGGCGAACTGCCCCATCTCGGCGCATCCCTCTCACGCTTCGTGGCCACCTAGGGAGCTTCGACGCAGGCTCCAGCGGCAGGGCCCGCATGTTTACCCTCCCCATGCCGGCGTACCCCTCACGTGTCTTGTGGCCCGTTAGTGAGCTCCACCGAAGGCCCCAGTGGCAGGGTCCGCATGGTTATCCGCCCTATGTCGGGACACCCCTCACACGAATCGTCGCCCCCGAGTGGGCTCCAATGAAGGCCTCAGTGGCATGGCCCGTATGATGACGACCCGCCCCATTTCGGCCCACCTCTCACACGCCTCGTGGCCCCATAGGGAGTTCCAGGGTCCGCATGGTTACCCGTCCCAACCCCTCACACGCTTCGTTACCCCATATGGAGCTCCGCCGAAGGCCCCAGTGGCAGGGTCCGCATGGTTGCCCGCCTGATTTCCGAGGGGACTCCAACGGAGGCCTCAGTGGCATGGCCAATATGATTACCCGCCCCAGTTCGGCCCACCTCTCAAACGTTTCGTGGCCCCATAGGGAGTGCTACCGAAGGCTCCAATGATAGGGTCCGTGTGATCACCCACCGAATTTCGGCCCACCTCTCACGCGTTTCGTGGCCCCGTGGGGAGCTCTGCCGAAGGCCCCTGTGGGATGGTCCACATGATTACCCCCCCATGTCGGCGCACCCATTCCACGTTTCGTGGCCGGAAGTGAGCTACGCCGAAGGCAGCACTGGCAGGGTACGCATGGTTACCCGCCCCATTTCGGCCCACGTCTCACACGGTTCGTAGCCCCATAAGGGGCTCCACCGAGGACTCCAGTAGCAGGGTCCGCCCCATTTCGGCGCACCCCTCACACGTCTCGTGGCCGAATAGGGAGCTCCGCCGAAGGCCCCATGTGGCACTGTCCGCATGGTTGCCCGCCTCATATCGGCGTACGCCTCGCACGGTCCGGAGACCCATGGGGAGCTCGACAGAAGGCCGCAGTTGCTGGGTCCGCATGGCTACCCTCCCCATTACGGCGCACCCATGTACCGATCGTGGCTTCATATGAAGCTCCTCCGAAGGCCCCAGTTGCAGGGTTCGCATTTCGTGTCCGGTGATCCTTGGGACCAGAGTCGCGGGAGTGCGTGCCGTTCATGGCCCGACGTTCTTTGGCGAAGTTTTCAAGTCAAGTCAAGTCAATAACGCCGTGTCTGGAGGCGCACGTCCATACCACGACACAGAAGAGCAAGGACAGTTCAGGAAAAGGCGTGCCTTCTGGCGATTGTCTTCCACAACTGCTGGCTATAGTTCGCAGGACTGAGAAATTTCGACACCTTACATTCCTGAGGGGCGGGGGGAGGGAGATGAGGAGGACGAGGACAGGTAGGGGGGAGGCCCCGTACCGCTGAAAGGGCGTGCGCTCTGACCACCGCGCCCCATCTTAGACGTGGTCGGCCTCTCCGCCTTGGCGCAGGCCGGCAGGCTGACGCGCTGAAAACCGTGCGCCTGAGAAGCGAGTCCGGCATAGCCGCGATCCCTCCAAAACACGGCAGCTGCCGGAACAAAGCTGTTTGGCTCAAGGTCACATTTTGCGCTCGTTTGCGCACCTCTGCGTTTGTGACCCGTGACACCATGGAGTGTGGTATGCCCAATATTTGTCGCACGCATTGCGCTTGAAAGGCATCGAGCGCTTGAAGGGCATCGAGCTTGTCCTGGTCGGCTCTCTTGAGGCAGAGCGTCTCGATGCCGTAGGTCAGCTTGCTTGTGATGTACGCCCGAAACAACATGAGCTTGCGTCTTCGTTGAATGTTGGCATGCCGCCATACCTGGTCAAACTGTGGAACGCAGCCCTCGCCTCCCCCATTCTCCTGGAAACGGCTGTACCGGTGCCGCCATCTGCGCACAAAAGACCTCCCAAGTAGACTGCAGACGTCACTGGCTTCACAGGGGCCCCCTCAGGAGCGACGATGTCCGATGTATGTCTGACCTGCAGGTGTACGGTCTTCGGACTATTTGTCTCCAGACCGTATACGTGGGCTCGAACAATTAGACGGTTCAGAAAATGCTGTGCTCTCGGTATGTCATCCGAGATAATCGCTGCATCGTCCGCAAACGTGCCGTCGCAACAAATGCAACCAGGTGGAGTCGGGCCGAATTTGTTCACCAAGTCGGCATGTACATCCGCCATGAGAACGGACAGCATGATGATGAATAGGTATCGGCTCAACGGGCGTCCTTAGGCGATGCCCGCGCCTATTGGGCGCGTGCCCGAAGTGCCGTGACTGTCTGTCATGTCGATCGCGCGATTAGTAAAAGTGTTCTCGATCATGTCGCAGTAGGCCGGCGGGATACCAAACCTGGCAAGAGCGATTTGGAGGGTTGCCAGGGCGATCTTGTCAAAGTCTTTTGACCAGTCTAAGAGTACCGCTGAAAGATGTCCCTCCTTGGACGCCCAAGTCCGTTCAATCGCCCTTTGGAGTAAGAAAATCGCATCAGTGAAACGCCTCCGTTTCCATAAACCGAACTGCGTGTCCCTCATCTTTTCCTCCACCCCCCCAGTCGCCATTTTGTTCAAAGTGAGGCTCGTTACGACCTTGTAGCTGACGGAGAGGAGGAGATTGGCTGCGGCAATGACTCGTCGTTCTTTTTGAAAATGGCTGTCACTGCGCAATGTTTCCACGACTGCGGAATGGACCGGCAGTTCCAAGATTTATTGCAAATATTAAGGAGGGATAGGCACGCATGGTCACTGTGGCGCAGCGCTTTCCAGAAATCTGGACGCACCCCATCTGGGCCCGCCGACTTACCCGCCTTCAGTGTCGACAGAACCTCGCGCAGCTCCAGCATGGAGAACTCATCGAGGTTCAACGCAACTTTCTCGTTCAGCTGGGCCCCTTGCGGAAGCGGACGGTCGCCGGCGGGAGCTGCCCATTGCACCGTCTCGAAATATGTAGCCATAGCTTCCGCCTTTTTCTGTCGCTGTCCACCAGCAGGCCGCCTTCGTCTGGGACGCGGCCCTGGCACTTGCGACCTCTGCTCGGGAAGCGCTTCAGACTCTCCCAATCGCCGCCAGCAAGCATTTGTTCTAGCCACTCCCTTCTGTCGGTCTTCGCAGATGTTTTGATTTTCTGCGAGAGGTGCTTCTCCAGCATGGCCTGGCCAGCTCGTTGGGCACGGTTGCGCAGCTTTATCAAATCTAGCGTCCGAGTTTGTATCCATGGCCGGTTTGGGCGCGCAGTTGTGCAGAGTAAATTCCCAATTGCTTCTTGTGTATCGAGCGGCCTTGCTGATAGTTGCCACGCGTTTAGAAAAGGGTTGGGTTCTGCGCCAGGTATTTTTGGGTTCTTTCTCTCTCTCTCTCTCTCGCGCATGCGGCCATGGGGCTAGAAATCTTCGATTTCCTCGTAAGAACGCACCCCAGGAGATCCCAGAACGGATTCTTGACTCCCAGACCGGGACATCTGGCGGCTCGCTACCTTGTTTCATTCGGCATCGCTAGGACTTGTGCACCTTTTCCTCTGCGAGGACCTCGGGGAGAATCTGGGAGCATCTTGCGGACGTGTGCACGGGAAGTGGACGCATGAGCGATGACGAGTTCAAGAACAGCGTCGCCGTCGCAGCATCGCCCGACTCCCGCGGGCCGGTCTCGGCCATCGGGAGCATCCCCCTCAACAGTGCAGGACGACGAGCCGGCCCCCGGGGAAGGGTCGAAAGGCCCTTGTTCGGGCGAAGAGAACTATGCACATGCACCGATCCTGGCAAGGCCCATTTTTGACCCAGGATCGGTGCATATGCCTTCCTGGCCAAGGTGGGAGGGCGTATGCACCGATCCTGGGCTCAGGATGGGCCTGGCCAGAATCGGTGCATGTGCATAGTTCTTTTCCCTCTACTTGTGGGGGTCCTGGGGAAGTCGTCGGCGGCGCGCCTCGGACCCGCGCTCCCGTGCCGCTTTTCGCGCGCAGCCTGCCGCGCGGGGTGCCGCGGCCGGGAAGCCCGCGCGCAGAGGCCCTCCCCCGGCCGTGCCCCATCCGCGAGTCTCGCTCTCTCTCTCTCTCTCTCTCTCTCCTCTTGCCTTCTGTTCACCAGCCTGGAACATATCCCTCTCCATCACGATGCCAGTCTTAACGATTCCCTTTATATTTTGAGGGCGAGTCCCTAGGACTGTCGTCGCCTTTTGGCGTGTCCATCTTAGGGATAGGGATACAGTCGAGGCTGGTTATGTTCCTTTCCGCTGTCTTCCTCCCGTTGCCCTCTCTGTTTGGCCCAGCCCTGGAATGGCAGTGGGGGCCGACCACGGCAGAGGAGTGGGAAGCTTTGTCCCGCGACTGCATGCGTGCTTTCATGTGCGCCATTCGCGGGGGGGGGGGAGGAGGAGGAGGAGGAGGAGGAGGAGGAGGAGGAGGAGGAGGAGGAGGAGGAGGAGGCGGAACGAGGGGCTGGATTGCACGGTGAAGAGAGGGAGGAATGGCAGGTGAAGTTGAGGAGTAGGCAGGAGGGGCATGGAGCAGGACGAGGACGTGTGAGAGGGCAAAGAGTGCGTGAAGGATGTGAAGGGATGGCAGAGGATACCCTTTTTGGACAGCAGCCGGGATTTTTTTTGGTGGACGGAGGGCCGAGGGTATTATAAAAATCCGGTTGTACCCAATCATCGCCACCCATTATCGGGCTTGTGGTAATGGGGAGTGGAACAAGGGGACCTAGAGGGGAAATATTAGGGCCTCTCTTGGGCCCCTGCTGGCTCCAACAGTGGCCCCAGAAGTGTGCCTTTGGGCCCCCTTGTCTTTTAGAATACCCTCGGCCCTCCGTCCACAAAAAATCCCGGCTGTTTTTCAAACAGGCTATCTTCTGCCTTTGCTTCACATCCTTCACGCACTCTTTGCCCTCTCACACGTCCTCGTCCTGCTCCATGCCCCTCCTGCCTACTCCTCAACTTCACCTGCCATTCCTCCCTCTCTTCACCCCCCATTCAGGTTAGCTCTCATTACCACGCGCCCGACATCAATTTCTTCCGCAATACCGCTGCGGGCAGGTTGCGAAAGCAGGGCAATCGAGACGCTCGCGGACAAGCTCGCGCCGAGCGGACGCAGCGCCCGATGATACGAAGGGCCATGCCGGGCTCCCAGCAAGGCCGCCTTCGGTCGCGATCAGGGGAGCCCCGGGAAGCTCGACCGCCGGCATCAGTTGCACGAATGTACTCCCCAGACCGCTAACATATATGATCCTAGAACAGCATGACGAAGTCTAGCATCTGAAATTCGGCGGCGAGCGAGAGGGGGAAGTGAGAAAGAGCAGGCGCTCTCAGAAGGCGGTGGGACTTCTCAGAAGCTCTCGCGCCTTCTGAGAGGTTTTTTTGTGTGTCTTCGGGGAAGGCTTAAACAACTTCTCAGCAGGCCAATGGACTCCCGAACCTTCTGAGAAGGCCTTCTCTGTCTGACCTCCCCCCTTCGCTCGCTGCCAAAACATGCAAGATAATGGTAGAACCGCCCCGTGCGTTCTAGGAGTGCAGGATCTGAATCCAACGCAGCGAAGTTCTAGACGTGCACATAAGAGGTGAGGCAGGCACAGCACAGTTCCAGAACGCTTAAAAGCAGCCCTAGAACGAACACGTAGACTGTAGAACGCGAGAACAAACATTATAGACATCTGGATGCACCTGCCAGGCGCCATTCGCGTGCTCGTGCGCTGGCTGGTCGTCGTTCCCGTATTCGTCCGCCTGTTGGGGTGCCAGCGCCGTGCTCGGAGGACACCGCTCGATCGCTCCTGATAGGGGGGGGCCTCATGCCACGGAAGCATTTCACGATGTGTCCGCATGAGGAGGCGCCGCAATTGCATGGTAGTGGAAGCCCAAGGCTGCTCGTACGCAGTTCCGAGTCACCGCATGCGAATCAGCCTGCAAGCCACCAGGCCGCTAGGGGAATGGATAATGTCTGAGGTGCAGCGCAAATGCACACACGGATTCCACCCTGAGCACTGCATCCAAAGAACATGCTCAGGAAGCGGAAGGATGAGGGCATGAGGGCGATGACGATTTCGCTGCAGCGGCCTCCCTCACCGCAGCCCCGGCGGCACAGGAGCTGCTGCGCGAGATCAGCGGCGGGCGGGGCTGGCAGGAGTCCACCGCTGGGACAGTCGTAGTCATGCCGGCCGCCTCGGAGTCGCGTTCCCCGGACCTTGATGGCCTGCTCGAGCTGATTACACTTCCTCCTCTTCTTCCTCCTCGCTCCCCGGATCCTCGGTTCGACGGCTGCCCTGACCTTCCTTGTTCTGTTGCGTGTTCTTTCCTTTTCGCCGATGGGTGCAGATCGCCGGGGCACCTTTGCTGGATGGGCCGGTGGGGCTACGCGAAGCGTCACAGGTTTCCGATAGATGCGCACATACGTAGACCACTTGATGTGAAGGAGTGGGCCGCGGCAACGCCACCATCTCCTACAGGCCGCGCCTCTTTCCCTTTGTTTTTCTGTCTTTGTTGGGCACCCCCTGAGGCTTGCCTCGGGTACGCCGCTTCCAGGTCCCACAAGTTGCTCGCGCTTGGTCGGGGCCCTGGCTCCGTTCTGGTCTGGTCTTTTGATGCTTCCCGCGATTTGCCACCGCGTTGGTCAGTCCCGAATGTCTAGGCCTCTTAGATGGGGTTGGAGTTGATGGTGTTGGAGGGTCGCTCCGCATCGCTGATGCATTGGCGATGCTGTTCGATGTGGAGCTCGAGTTGCTGCACGTCGACGTCGCCGATGCATCGCCGACGTCGACGATGTATGGCCGGTGCATCGCCGATGCATCGCCGATGTATCGGCGATGCGGCGCGTAATCCGACCCCATCTACTCCGACCCCATCTAGGAGGCCTCTAGAATTTGACGCAGGTTATTTCCCTGGGGTATCCCTGTGATGATCTGGAGTGTCCTTTGAAGCCTGTCGGCCTCCAGGGACCGATTCCCGAGCCTTGGCCCTGGAGGTCGCCCAGCTGACAGTCTTTCTTGTCGGTCTGGCACGTTGGCACCATGTCCCTTTTTCGGCTGTCTGGGCTCTCTCCCAGGCAGCCGCTGTGCCTTGATGCAGCTGAAGCCTCGCGGGCAAAACAAAACATGTGAGCTCTCCTGATCCCCCCAAGTTTTCTCCCTCCTTCTCCTCCCTCCCATTTGGAAAAACACGTCCTCCTGGTGCTCGTTTTTTTTGGTCGCGGCCGCAAGCGAAGGCGCAGGCGGCGTCAAGGGTCGTCCCAGGCTACGGTCGAAACCTAGTTATCCAGCGAGCGCATTCACAACTGCCAAAGCTGCCGCCGGGGGGCGCTGAGCGGCGCTGGGGGCTGAAGGCTCCCTCCTGGTGGGCATACGCAAAGTGTCAATAATTTGAAGATCAAAGCAAGAAAGTCCCACTCACGTGCCCGCGCCAGACCGGCAGGGCTCGATTTCGATTCCTCCGATTCGATTCGACTCGACTTCGATGGCTTCCGACTCCGATTCGATTCGACTTGGGATTCCGATTCGGGTTCCGATTTCTCATCGGAGGCATACTGGCCTGCCGATGTCCGCCGATCCGACTTTTCCCGACTTGGCTGCCGCTCTCCACCGATCAGATTCATTTCGATTGCCGATCCGACTTGTCAACTCGATTCTGGGCTCTCCTGGACCGGCACCCCCCTGCGGTTGGGACCATGTCCACATCCAGGGCCTCCAGTTCGACTGCACGTGATAGTGACCCTTCGCCGCAGTGACCTTTGGTGCGGGTCCCCATGGGGTCCCCCGATCGCCGAGCACGCTGCGATGTATCGGGGGAGCGTAAGACCCGGGTTTGCCGGGACTCGGGTTCGCCATCGTTTTTTGACGACCGCGCCTCGGATTTTGACGAGGAGGAGTTTCGCGGGATGTCTGCAGCGGGAGGCCTCGTCAAAATGCAGGCTCGGCCTCGTCATTTTTTTGACGACCTCGTCGGGGATTTCCGAGTCCCCCGTACCCGGGTCTTACGTCTCCCCGAATGCAGCATCGTCTTTGCTGGCGCTCGGGGTGCCCCCCCCCCTCCCCCCCGCGGCTCCGAACGCCGCTTCGCCAGAGGCCCCTCCTGCCCGGGGGGTCACCCGTTGGCGTGTGGCCGGCCCGGGGCACGCGCCCTCTCGGCGTGGGCGTGTGTTCTCTCTTGGCGGTGCGCAGGGGCAGCGATAGTCAGAGCCCCGAATCATCAGGGGTAACTCGGGTCAGGGCTAATTCGGGTTCCTTTTTCGGGAAGCCGAACCCGAGTTACCCCGGACCCGAGTTACCCCGGATAACTCGGGCGTCCAGAGCCCCGAATCATCAGGGGTAACTCGGGTCAGGGCTAACTCGGGTTCCTTTTTCGGGAATCCAAACCCGAGTTACTCCGGACCCGAGTTACCCCGGATAACTCGGGCGCCCAACATGGGGGGGATGCATCGACCCCCAGTCGCCCATTGATCGCCGATGAAGGGCCCGACAGCCCCAACCTGCCCAGGGAGGTGCGGATTCGCGATCGCAGGCCTGTCGCCGATCTATCGGCGATGCATCGCCGATTCCAGGTCGATGCATCCCCCCCTGTGCCAGTCCCCCCCTGCCGGTGCCCCTCAGGTGCACAAGCGGCATCGGCTGGCCACCGCGAGGGCCCAGAGGGCCCGCGTACAGCCAAGCATGGCCAAAGGAGAGCTGGAACATGATGATAATTGAGCATGCGATGAGGTGCGATGTTGTGTGCCTCGCGGACGGATGGTTTGGCGTGCTGTTCTTGCGGCCGCGTCTGGGGCTGGACAGTGGCCACCCGGTCACGGGCAGAAGAGCGGGGCCGAGAAGGATAAGGATGATGCAGGTATCCAGGATGCTTGCAGAGAGGCAGGATGATATCGTCGACGCATTCGGGGGGTTCTGGGGAGCAGGGAGGAAGGTCATGTTGCGGAGGGATGGGGCAGATGAGATGTTGTTGATCCCCCCCGGGCGCTATCATGCACACGCCGCCGCAACAGCATGCGGTGTAGCAGGTCTGAACGGAGGGGAAGATGAGAAGGTTGAAGCGCGCACGCTTCTCAGTGACAAGGCATGCCCGAGTATTTTTCCTTCAGAGCAGGTCAGGAGTCGCAGCAGGACCTTCAAGTTGCACACCACCCGCCGCCCGTAAACACGAGTCGGACCTGCATCGGTTCGCGATCTCCGAGCAGTGCAATCCTAACGAATTCGCGACTCGACGGGCGAGGCGCTCTTCCCGAGGGACCTGCGGATCATGAGATCTCCATCTTTCGTTGCTGTACGGGTTTCCGCCTCGAGGGCTTTACCAGCTTGAAACATATCCCTCTCCCTATGGTCGGCATCACCTTGCCTCAGTGCAGATCTTAAAGATCCCCTCCGTTTCTGAGGGCGACTTCCTAAGATTGCAAGGAGCTCTTCCTGTGGTCGCTTGTAGGGTCCCCCTCCGGTTCGACCGGGGGGGGGGTGTAGCTTCCTTAAAATAGCTTCCAGTTGGCTCCGAACCCCCGGGGGGGGGCTCTCCCCAAGAACCCAGGGTTACAGCAGGAGGGGAACATTAACACACAGACGCAATGAATTGTCGATTCCCCAGAAAATGTTGGACAAAATGGAAGTGGGGGGGAAGACAGAAACCCCGAAAACATTTGAAAATATGAAATCTGGAGTTTCCCTTCATTACACCTCCCTTCCCGGGCAGGGGGGCTCCGAGAACCGGGGGTACCACCCCCCCTGGGAGGGGGCGGGGCAGAAGGGGGCGCGCCCCCCCCCCCATACGGCCCCCCCCTCTCTCTTTGCGCTAGTACCCCGAGGGCCGACGACGACGACGGCAACGGCGACGGCGATAGCGACGTCGTCTGCGGCGGCGGCGGCGACGGCGACGGCGGCGGCAACGGCGACGACGACGACGACGACGACGACGACGGCGACGACGGCGACGACGGCGACGACGACGGCGCCGAGGACGGCGACGACGACGACGACGAGGACGAGGACGACGACGACGACGACGACGACGACGAGGACGAGGACGACGACGACGACGACGACGACGACGACGACGACGACGACGACGACGACGAGGGGGGCCAGCAAACGCACACGACGGCGACGACGATGGCGACAGGGGGCCGGCACACGCAAACGAGGATCACGACGATGGCGTCGGGGATTTTGACGTGAACGACGACGACGACGACAACAGGTTTCATTTACTGTCCCGCCCGCCGGTCCTGCATTTACGGCGGCCGCGATACATTTTCCCATGACATGTTTCCAACACGGGGTGAAGATTGCATGCAATGTCCCGCCCGCTCGCTATGGACGCCCCATGTTTTTACAAGGGGTTCCATGTGTGTCCCGCCCGCCCGAACGGCGTCTCCAGCATCTGCGTGCGATTCCCCTCATTATTTTCTGTTTTCGTTCAGTGAAGGTTGCATGAGATGTCCCGCCCGCCCACTGTGGACGTCCCATCACAGCCTTCAGGTTACATTTAATTAGGGTCTCGCCCGCCCGACCGGCGTCGTTGGCAGTCGCGGCGCATTCTCTCACGACGTTCTCCTAACACGGGGTGAAGGTTGCTTTTGACAATCCTCCCGGCCGATATGGACGCCCCATCACTGAGCGAATGGTTCCTTTAATGTCCCGCTCGCCTCACCGGCGTCTTTGGCTGTCGTGAGCGGTTTTCCTCACTTCCAAATCCACAATGAAGGTTGCACAGAATGCCCCGCCCGCCTGATTTGGACATAGCATCACTACTTGCAGGTTCCATTTAATGTCCCACCAGCCCGACCAGCGTCTTTGGCGGTCGTGATGTACTTTCGTATGACCCCTCCCAACATGGAGTGAAGGTTGCAGTTCGTGTCTCGCCCGCCCGATATGCACGCCCCATCACTGGCTGAATTGTTGTTTGTTCCGCTCGCCTAACCAGCGTCTGCGGCGGTTGTCTCATCAATTCCCGTTGGTTTTTCATCTCGCACAAAGACAATTGCATAACATGTCCCGCCCACCCATTGTGGACACACCATCGCTGCCTGCACGTTCCATTTATACTCCGCCCGCCTGACGTGTTTTCTTGGCGTATGTGATACAATATCCCATGACCTTATCCCAACACGGGGTGAAGGGTGAGTTTAGTATCTCGCAGAGTCTGACCAGTTCACCAACTCGTCGTTGTCGTTGTCGTTGTCGTCGTCGTCATTGCCGTCGTCGCTGGCTGTCGTCGTCACCGTCACCCTCGCGGTCGCCGTCGTCAAGCCAACCACCCGTGAAACGCGCTATTTGTCTATCTTTCTCTCTCTCTTTGTTTCGCTCTCTCTCTCTCTCAGACTGTCATCGCCCAGGGCGTGCCAATCCCAGGGCTAGGGATCAGTTCGGGGCTGGTTAGGGCCAGTCCCTGTGGGCCCCGTGGCGCGAGGCCTTCTCTGGAGGCCCGGGCTCGGAAGCAGCTGCCGTCTTGCCGAAGGCCTCGGGTTCGACCAGTCGGACGGGGCCAGGACGAGGACGAATCCAGGGTTCATTTCGATTCCTCTGATTTGGTTCGATTCGATTTCGATGGCCTCCGATTCCGATCCGATTCGAATTGGGATTCCGATTCGGGCTCCAATTTCTTATTGGACGCATGCCAACCTGCCGATATCCGCCGATTCGATTTTTTCCGACTCGGCTGCCGATTTTCGCCGATCCGATTCATTTCGATCGCCGATCCGACTTATCGATTCGATTTTGGGCTCCCCTGCGGATCCGTTCCAGAGCGTTCCGGAACGCTCTCAGAGCGTTCTGGAACGTTTTGAGAAGGCCGCGGTTCTCAGGAGCCGCCGGACCTTAGAGATACTCCATCCGTCCTCGCCCGAATTTCTTCTTGAGTTGCCGTCTCATGCATAGCACCATGAATCATATTTCTCATCGTTTGTTGAGAATGTAATGTCTTGGCGAAGCGCACAGCTTCGATGATTTGCCGATCTTGGAGACCGATCTTGAAGACCGATGCGGAGATCCTAACATCGATTCACCCGAGAAGTAGAAGCCCACCTGGACCCGGAGCATCATTATCCCCAGGGGATTATTCTCACCAGCGTGGGTTTATATAAGAGCTCTCAACCCCAATCATATTGCGAAGACGTGACCTCCCTGACGTCCCCGTTCTGCACCAGGGATAGTACATTTGGGCGGTCTGGTTTTGTACACTTTTCCAAAAGCGTTTGGCCTCTGAGCTTAGGTCACCCACCAAATCCCAAAGGGTTGGGGGTCCTTTCGCTACTAGTCATCGGGGCCAACCGGGAAGAAGGCCGCGGCCCTCCAGAACCGCCAGACCTGACAGATTCTCGACTTCCCTCCACCCAAGTTTATCCTCGTCCTGATTTTGTCTGAAGCTGCCGCCTTGCCGAAGGCCTCGGGGCCGGCCAGCGACGAGTTCAAGCAGTGGCGAAGCGTCCCAGCTTGCTTGTAGGCCCACCAAGGAGTGTTATGAGGACCCCATTTTTGGTGGTCTGCACGAGGTGTTCTTCGAACTTGCCTGGCTGAGACTGGGTTGCCTTGAGACACCGGCTTCGTGCCTTCTAAGCACAGAGCTTGCGCTCTTCAGAGCATCCGTTGGTTCTCCGAACGTTTCGTGGCAGGTCGCTCGGAACGCCGTGACGGTCGGCCGCATGCTCCGCGAGCGGCAGGGGTCGGAGGCGAGCCGCGGCGCGGGGTGGGCTCGGCGGGGGAGGCGACGGCGGCCACGACTTCGACATCCCGCGGCGCAAGGCCCCGGGGGAGCAGCGGCGAGGGGAGGAGGGGACGACCAGCCACGCGCAGAGGGGGGTGCAGTCAGCGCGCCCAGTAAGGACGCGCGCCTTCGTCTAGGGCAGCCAGGGGCCCTTGAGAGCAGGTGCTGTTTGGGCTCCCAGATTCCAGTCTGCTCGAAGCGCCTTCCTGCTTCCAGGATCGAGTGGTTGCACGTCTTCCGTCCCCTTCAGGGGGCGGGCGGAAGCCCAATCTTTTTCTACCACATTCGTATTTCCCAACCATCCTGTGGTGTTGGGTCCTCGTTTTGAAGAGACGGTGCCCCGCGTTCTCCTTCCTTCCTTCCTTCCTCCCGCTGCCTCCTCCCCCCTCCTATCATCATCATCATCAACACCCATTTCGGCACACCCCTCACACGTTTCGTGGCTCCATAGGGAGCTCCACCGAAGGCCCCAGTGCCCGCGGCCGCATGCGTCCCCCACACCCATTTCGGCACACCCCTCACACGTTTCGTGGCTCCATAGGGAGCTCCACCGAAGGCCCCAGTGCCCGCGGCCGCATGCGTCCCCCACACCCATTTCGGCACACCCCTCACACGTTTCGTGGCTCCATAGGGAGCTCCACCGAAGGCCCCAGTGCCCGCGGCCGCATGCGTCCCCCACACCCATTTCGGCACACCCCTCACACGTTTCGTGGCTCCATAGGGAGCTCCACCGAAGGCCCCAGTGCCCGCGGCCGCATGCGTCCCCCACACCCATTTCGGCACACCCCTCACACGTTTCGTGGCTCCATAGGGAGCTCCACCGAAGGCCCCAGTGCCCGCGGCCGCATGCGTCCCCCACACCCATTTCGGCACACCCCTCACACGTTTCGTGGCTCCATAGGGAGCTCCACCGAAGGCCCCAGTGCCCGCGGCCGCATGCGTCCCCCACACCATTTCGGCACACCCCTCACACGTTTCGTGGCTCCATCCATAGGAGCTCCACCGAAGGCCCGCATGTGGCCCGCGCCCTCCATGCCCGCATGCGTCCCCCACACCCATTTCGGCACACCCCTCACACGTTTCGTGGCTCCATAGGGAGCTCCACCGAAGGCCCCAGTGCCCGCGGCCGCATGCGTCCCCCACACCCATTTCGGCACACCCCTCACACGTTTCGTGGCTCCATAGGGAGCTCCACCGAAGGCCCCAGTGCCCGCGGCCGCATGCGTCCCCCACACCCATTTCGGCACACCCCTCACACGTTTCGTGGCTCCATAGGGAGCTCCACCGAAGGCCCCAGTGCCCGCGGCCGCATGCGTCCCCCACACCCATTTCGGCACACCCCTCACACGTTTCGTGGCTCCATAGGGAGCTCCACCGAAGGCCCCAGTGCCCGCGGCCGCATGCGTCCCCCACACCCATTTCGGCACACCCCTCACACGTTTCGTGGCTCCATAGGGAGCTCCACCGAAGGCCCCAGTGCCCGCGGCCGCATGCGTCCCCCACACCCATTTCGGCACACCCCTCACACGTTTCGTGGCTCCATAGGGAGCTCCACCGAAGGCCCCAGTGCCCGCGGCCGCATGCGTCCCCCACGCCCATTTCGGCACACCCCTCACACGTTTCGTGGCTCCATAGGGAGCTCCACCGAAGGCCTCAGTGCCGCCGCCCGCATGCGTCACCCCCACCCATTTCGGCACCCCCCCCGCATTTCTCGCACGGCAGGGTCATCACCACGGTGGCGTGCCAGGGGCGCACCATGCGCGAAGGCGACGGGGCGGGGGAACGGCGCTCCGGGGGCGGCCAGACCTCCGGGGCGCGAGCAGTCCGCGGCCAGACCATCTCTCGGTCCTGTGGACTCTCGCCCTGGGCCGTCGGCTGCCCGGCGCGCTGCTCCCTCGGTCGACGTCGCCCAGGCGTGATCCTGGATTGCGGCCGCCACGAGGTAGGGAACGGCAAGAAGGAGGACGACGACTGGTGGCTGGAGCTCTACGTGCTGCTCTCGCGCGCCACGCGCCACGAGGACCTCCTGCTCATGCGGGCGCCGCGCATCGAGTTCTTCCTGGCAGGGCCGCCGCAGGGCTTGCGGAAGCAGCTGGAGCAGTTTGCGGCGCGCACGAAGCGGTGCAGGAGGGAAGCGACGGCCCTCGCCAGGGAGCTCGGCTTCACCGAGTTCATCCGCGAGGCCTGACCTGAGGAGCGTCTCCCCCGAGCCGCGCCTTCTCTCGACTGCCCGACTAATTGTTTGGCCTCGCGCCGCGGACGACCCGCGCGCGTCGCTGGGACCCTCTCGGGGCGACCAGCGCGCGTCGCGGGAACTCCGCGCTGCGGGGTGCCCGGCGCCTCGTTCGCCCGTCGTCGCTCGGCCCAGCGGTCAGAGATTTGCCCGCTATCAGCCAGCCAGTTAGCTAGTCAGCTCTCTCTTCTTCGCGCAGCGGACGACCCGCGCGCGTCGCTGGGACCCCGCCCGGGGCGACCAGCGCGCGTCGCGGGGACTCCGCGCTGCGCCGCGCCCGCAGCCTTGGATTTTGGAGTGCGCGGGCAAAGAGGAAGGAAAAGAAGAGCCGAAAGCGGGCGCGATCCTCGCAAGAGGCGTGCCGACATGGGCGTCGCGACGTGCGGACGCTGCCGTCGGGGTTCCCGCGGAAGCTGCCTGCGGCGGCCACGCCCAGTGTCACGTGTGTTCGGACAGGCATGCTCGACACTTACACTAGGCGGTTCCATGATCGCATTCATGCAAATATATTCGCTCGCGCGCAGACCCATTCATACTCAGATTCCTTCGCGTTCTGACTCACCCGCGGTCCTTTTCTCGTAATCAGATCTATCGTATTCCTTTGCGTTGTGTGCCCCGCCACATTTCGGCACACCCCTCATGCGGTTCGTGGCCCCATAGGGAGCGCCACCGAAGAAGCTATTCACAATTGCGATACTCCCAACTGCATATGGTTGGGTCCTTCGCCAGGATAAGTAATGTTTCTACCTGCATCTTCCGACCGATGGGTACCCTGGTGTCCTTTCCTCTGCGGCACGTCCTTTGCCGTTTTCACGTGTCGCCCGCTGCCCAAAGCAATTTTACTTTCGGCCTCCAGGGGTTTTGCGTCCTTGTCACCCGTCCTTATACACAGTTCGACTGTAGGGGTAGGGAGGACGGCTTCCCATTCAGACCTCCCGGATGGGGTCCGAGTAGATGGGGTCTGAGGGTCGCGCGGCGTCGCCGGTCCATTGGCGACGTCAGAAACAGGCTGTTTCTTAGATGGCGCAGGTCTTGTCTATAGATGTGTGGCTGACGCCTTCTAAGAAGCAGCCTCCTGAGAAGCCTGCCCCTTCCCGCGACCCCCATTTATGCCCGCCGCCAAGATTATGCTGAGACTAATGCTGACTAGGGCACCCCCAAGGGACTGTAGCGCCTTCTACGCGACATGTGAACGCATTGTGCTCTTATGTGTGGGGGCCGAGGGGATGAGGGGAGGGGAGACGAGGGGCCAGACGGGACAGGCGGGGAGGGGATGGGAACGAAAGAGGCGAAGATATCAGAGGAGGACAAAGGTACCCATAGCGCCACCCTTTCCGTAGTTTTGCCCTGTTTGGGCCTCCCGGGAGGCCCTCGTCGCCACGGCTAGATTCGTTTCGAAATTCTGGTCGGAACGCACCCCGGGAGAGGTCGGGGGAGTGGAGTTCCCCAGAAAAGAGGAGGGGGCCCAGGGGAGGAGAGTTGGGATTTGAGAGAGGAGAGAAAGGGGGACAGGGAGAGGATGAAAAACATATGGGATAGGGAGACGAGGCCGAGGGGGACGAAGCGCACAAGCCCGTGTTTGAGTCGCTACAAGCGCCCTGCATACCGCAAATTCTTTTTCCTCCATCGAAGACGCCTACGGCGAATCACTACCGCCCTGCCTTTGGAAACGCTAATGCGGCCAAGCCTTGTGACAAAGTCTGGCCAAGCTGTTGAACGATGTGTGCCCCCAGCCGTTGTGGAGCCCCTATGTGGAACACGTGCGAGACAAAGAGAATTGAGGAGAAGGGGGAGGACGGGGAAAATGGGGCCTTGAAAGCGCCTCTTGAAGGCTTCCTGAGGCCTCTTGGGGGCCTCCTGCGGGGATGAAAGAGAAGAGAGGAGACGGGGAGGAGAAAGAGGAGGAGTAGGAGGAGGAGGAGGAAGAGGAGGAAGAAGAAAAGTAAGAGGATCATTCGGAAAAGGCTGTGGAAACCGAAGAGGAGGAGGAGAGGGTTGAGGAGGAGAGGAAGGAGAGCGCAGATGCCATGTGCACGAGGCTGCGGTGTTGCCAAGGATGGCCGACGCAGGCGGAGTGGCAGAGCAATCCTTGGCCGCGCCTTTTTGTTCTTGTCTTCTCGCCTCCCTGGTGCCGGAGCCGCTCCTGCCCTGGGCACAGGGCAAAGACAAAGACAAGGGGAAGGAAAAGGGGAAGGACAAGGACAAGGGGAAGGACAAGGGGAAGGGCAAGGACAAGGACCTGACGGCAGTCCTACCGCTGGGGGGGGGAGCGAATCCTCGCCGTCTCTGCGCTGCGCAGGCTCTGGCTGGCAAAGCGTAGCGTCAACGAGATGCTAAGACACATTATGATTAACCGATTTAGGTGCCATGGCTGACAAGTCGAAGTTTGGTGAGCGCAGCGGTTGAAGAGAAGGCACATAGTAAGAACAGTATGGTAAGCCCGCGAGGGCATAGAGTATGCACTACTCGTCCGCTGCTGCGCTGATGCTGAAACAATCGAGTGAACAGTTACCGTGTTTGATATTAGCCAAGGGCCTCCAAGAAAGGATCTGTAGTCTCTATCTTTTTGTTTCGCTCTCAATGGAAGCTGTGCACGAGCTGCACTGGCACGCCTGCAGCATCATATTCCAGAGATTCGCTACCATGACCCGACTACACTACTGCGAAGATGATGTCAGCCTCATTCGATGCTTGAGTATTATATTCCTCCGTGCGTTTTGGTAATAGTATGTTGCCACGTCTTGTCTGTTTCTCGTCTCCTGCTCTTTCGCTTCGTGACTGTATTAGCTTCGGTGTAGCCCACCGCTCGCTTTGACCAGCGCCTGACCGTCTCGCATTCCCTGGTTCCTGCGGGCTTGAATTTGTTTTAGGACTCGCAAGTGCAACAGCACGCGAAATTTCCACATTGAATGCAAGCCTTGCTAGAATCACCCGAGGTTGCTACGCTCTGGCTCAGTGAATACATCAGGATTGTGCATCAGATGTGAACATGTCACCAGCTCTTTGGTCATACGGAGCGCTGCTATTGAGCGGTACGCACATCGGCCGTTGACATGTGCGGCAGGTTCGTGGCGCGTCGCTGCGGCGACCTCAGCGAGAGCCTTCAAGGTTGCATGCCGCCAGAGACCGAGAAACGGCCGGGATCGAAGCAGCGCGCGCGAGTTGCAAGCCGCGATCATGTGATGTTGAAGGGTCCATACAGTGTCTGAAACCAGCGCCCATGTTATCACGACACGAAGGCGCGGTACATGGATCCGTGAGTCCATGTTATTGTGCACCACGTCGGAAGTGGTGTATGTCGTACACCAGATTCGTCTTGCTATCCTTTCGTCGCGTAGGGCCATGATCGCCAACCTTTGTTGCTATCGTGCTGCGCTCCGCTTGGCTTTGTCATCAGCCTGCGCATACGCTTAGCTCGTAGCGCGACGGGAGACATTCACGTATTGTCTGGCGCTGTCCGTCACGGTCTCAGTTTTGTTTCCCCCTTCGTCTGTCACAGGTGGTGGAATGACCGTTCATTGGGCGGGAGAGTGACGGACGAGAATTCGGGATTTCGCCGTCGCCAGCCCGAGAACATGACACGAGCAAGCAGCAGGATTGAATAATCAGCAGGGGGGAGGGAAGGGGGCAGGACGAGGAGAATGACGACGATGCTACCTCCCCCCATCGCTCCGTATGTCGCAAAGGACAAGGGCAAGAGAGGAGAAAGCTTCGATGCCTTTGGCCCGATCAAGGCTCCGACGGGGAAGTGGGGGCTCTGCGGCCAGAGTCTGGCCGGGGCCTGCCAGGGGGGGGCCTGGGGCACGAGGGCTGGGGCCGGGCAGGAGGGTGAGGGAACAAGAGGGAATGCGGGAGAGTGAAAGACGTATAGGAAGGGAGAGAGAAAGAGAGAGAGAACACAGCAAGACGAAAAAAACAGAGAGGGAGTGAGAGAGAGAGAGAGAAACTCCACCCACCCACCCACCCACCCACCCACCCCCCCAACACAAACATAGATACACACATACACACACCTGTGTAAACATGTGCGTACATATGCACAGCGCGGGAAAGATAACTCTCTATACCTGATATATATAGACATATGTGTACAGAGAGCGGGAGAGAGAGAGAGAGATATATATATATATATATATATATATATATATAAAGAGAGAGAGAGAGAGAGAAGAGAGAGAGAGAGAGCGAGAGAGAGAGAGGTATGTGTATATATATATATATATGTGGAAAGAACAGAGCATGTTGGTCGCAGGTGTCTACGTGTTGTACGCATTTGCGCAGACCAGGGGGGTGCAGGGCAGGAGTGGCAGGGGGGCAAGCGCGAAGGAAGACGGAGGACAGGATAGAGGGAGTGAAATGAAGGGCGGGATGGGTGTCTCGCTTGGTCTTCTTCGAAGCAACTCCACGCGCCAGCACAGTGCTTGCACTGGTTGACGGTTGATTGTCCCACTTACATGTGATTGGTTGGTTTTTCTGGCGTTCGATGCCCGCCCGTGGCCGTCTCGGGTTCTCTTGTAAATGATTGGTTGGTGTTTCTGGGTTGTCTCCTGATGTCCGCCCGCGGCCGCTGCATGTGTTGGTCGGCTGTCTCATGTTTTCGCCCGGCGCACACCCCTGTGTGTTCTGGCCGACGTTTCCGTATGCACATAGGTTGCACCACATCATACTTTGCAAGTGATGCACACATTGCTTGCGCTCCGTATGTGTTGCGCCACATTGGTGGCGTACCATCGTTTTCCAAGATGGCACCGGAGCGTCGAAGCAGCGCAATCAATCTGGGCCTCTTCGATGGGGTCGGAGCAGATGGGGCCGGAGGGTCGCGCCGCATCGCCCATGCGGCTCGACGGGGAGCTCGCTTTTCTTCACGCCGACGTCGCCGACGCATCGCCGATGCGTCGCCGATGCATCGCCGATGCATCGCCGATGCATCGCCGATGCATCGCCGATGCGGGGCGATCCTCCGACCCCATGTTTTCCGACCCCATACCAGGAGGCCTTTATAGAAGTAGCGCAATCAAGGCTACTCAAGATTTCGTAATACAAGGGAGGAGGTCTGGACCCTCCCAGACAAGCCATTTCAGACCTCCCCCGTGGAAGAACCCTCCAAAACATCGCCCCCAGACCCCCCAGGCCCTCCAAGATAGCCTGGAAGAGACCCCCCCCCGAAATGAGACCCCCCTCCCTTTATTACAAAATCTGGAGTACCATCGTCTTTCTCACAGGAGCTGGGCCGTCGCAGCAGGCAGGGCCTCGCACTCTTCTCGTGCTGCGCTGGGCGCGGTCGAGGGGTGCGGCGGGGCGGGCGCAGGAGGTGCCGCGGGCTCCGGCGAGAGCAGACGTGCCGCTCTCAGTACATGTCTTCGGCAGCAACTCGTGGGAGCCTGGTACAGTGGGGGCGCGTGCCAAGAAACCAGTTGGATTTTGCCAGGGAGCCCTGGGTTTCTTGGATTTCGATGGGTCCCCAATGAGATCTTGACGATTTTCGATCGACGAATTTGGATTTCAGTGGACAGATCGCGGATTTCAGGGTTTGGTTTCTTGCGGAGGTTTCTTGTGGCCGAGCCCCCACTATACCCTCTGAACTGTGTGTTTAGCGTCGGCTAGCGTCGATTGGCGTCTGGGAGTCGATGAGGTAGCGCCGGTTTGGCGTCGGTTAGCGTTGGTTCAGCGTGGATTCGCGTCCAGTCGCGTCGATTTAGCGTCGACTGGCGTCGATTCGCGAGAGCCGACAAGATAGTATGGTAGGCTCCCATGAGTTGCCACAGAACAGTACATGTCTGGACCTGAGTTTGGATTCGGGTCGACATGGAGGAAGGGGGAGGGCGCCACATGATGGACTCCCGAAGTGCTCACGTAGTTGGTGCAGGCAAGTTCTGGGAGGCGGCATTCAGCATCGGCCCTAGTATACATGCGGTCGAAGGCCATCCTAATCTTGCTTAGTCTCGCTCAATCCGGTCGAGTCGCGCTTAGTGTTGTCGAATGCAGAGCTTCCCAGGCGCATGGCAACTCAACCTGGCTTACTATCCCTCAGCCGTTCACAAGGAGGAGGCCGTGGCGCTTTGTGAAGGCCACGTGGAAAGAGTCAAGAATGGAGAAGAGTGAACACGTCCAGAGACGCGTGCTTGGGTCCAGACGTAGCGCGTTACCCGTGGTATTTGTCGTTTAGACTCACACGAGCGCGACAATTTTCGTATAAGATCGTCTGAATTCTCTGTTGCACCTCCCCCTTCCCCATTCCCCTTCCGGGGAGCCCCCGGAGGCCCTCCGGAGGACCTAGGAGGGCTAGCCAAGCCATCGCCCAACAACCTCGACCCTCGTTCTCATTCCTGCACGAACCTCCCCCCGCTGCCGCTCCCCCGCCTCCTTACCCCGCTCCGTGCCCCCCTCGTCTCCCTCCGCCCCCTCCCATTGGGAGATTGGGAGGAGGGGTCGGAGGGAGACGAGGGAAGGGGGGGGGGGAGGAGGGGGAGGCAGGGGACAGACATGCCCCCTCCCCTCCTCCCCTCGGTGATCGCTCGCGCGCGTACTTTGACACTCTCAGCACACCCCCGCCCCCCGGGTGTGCTCCACGCCGCCCCGGCGTCACCGTCACCCGCCTCCCCCCCCCCCCCGTCGGGGCAACGGCTGCTACCGGGAAAGCAGTGCGAGACGACAGCGTGCCCACTCCGCCCCCGCGTCCCTCCCCTCCCCCCCCTCTGCCTCCCCCGCCCCTCCGTCTCTCCCCTCCCTGCCCCGTTCCGCCCCCTCTGCCCCTCCCCGCTTCCCGGCGGCACCGCAGCGACGACGGCCGCAGCGAGGCACTGGCTTGCACGGCGGAGGAGGACCAGGAGGAGGACGAGGACCAGGACGAGGAGGAGGAGGAGGAGGAGGGGGAGGGGGAGGAGGAGGAGGAGGAGGAGGAGGAGGGGGAGGGGGAGGAGGAGGAGGAGGAGGAGGAGGAGGAGGAGGAGGAGGAGGAGGAGGAGGAGGAGGAGGAGAGGGGAGAGGAGAGGGGAGGACGAGGAGGAGGGAGGAGGAGGGGGAGGGTGCAAAAGATGGGTACTGCTAGGGTCGGCGCCTGAGGCCCCCCCACCGGCCGCGGGGGATCGGCGCCCAGGGAGCCCCGGCCGCCGCCCACTCCGGGGGAGGCTGCGCGGCCCAGCAAGGGCAAGGGCAAGGGCAAGAAGGGCGCCGACGACGCGGCCGCCCGGGTGCACGAGATCCCCATCGCCACGGATGGTGTCGAGGAGGAGCCCCCCCCCGTCGTCGCAGGCGCTCGCGGGCGCTCCAGGCAGGCGCTTCAGGCAGGATCCCACGAGGGCTCCCACAGGCAGAGCAGACAGAACACATAAAAATCAAGAATGAAAAAAAAACAGGGAAACCCACGAACAAGTGTTTTGTATGTTTTGTCCTGGTTCATTCTGTCTTCCCAGGCGCCCCCACTCGCTCCCAGACGCTCCCAGGCGGTGCGTCCTCCGTTCTCCCGGTCCTCGTCGGGCCTCGTCTCAGTTTCCACGCCGAACATGGTCATTCATTGTACCAGCCATCAGTTTGTCCTTCAGCCCCCTCTATATTGCCCCCATGCTGGTATGGACTGGGTGAGGGGGTGTGGTCTGGGTGTGGGGTGTGGACTGGGTGGGGGAGGGGGAAGGGGAGGAGAGCCGCCGCTTTCACCGCCCCCCCACCAAATCTGCCCGTACCAGTCTGGCGGACGGCAACGGGGAGGCCATTGACGGGACGGCGCACTTGAGGGGGACGTGCTTGGAGGAGTCGAGTGGCAGTTTTGAGCCATTTTGGACTCCTCTCCTCCTCCTCCTTCTCCTCCTCCTCCTCCTCTTCTTCCTCCTCTTCCTCCTCCTCCTCCTTTTCCGCCTCCTCCTCCTTTTCCTTTTCCACCTCCTCGTCCTCCTCCTCCTCCTCCTCCTCCTCCTCCTCCTCCTCTTTCTCCTCCTCCTCCTCCTCCTCTTCCTCCTCCTCCTCCTCCTCCTCCCCCCCCGTGGGTTGCGGCCCCATGGGCGCCCGCATCCGCACAGGGTGTCCAGTAGACCCGCAGCCACCATGCCCGGCCAGGGCCGTGCGTTGTGCCCTGCGCTGGTGGCTGCGCAGGCTTTCCTGGCTCCGCCCAGGGGAGCGTATGCACCACGGCAGGGCCCAGGATGGCCTCCCCCTCCTCTTCCCCCCCCCCCTCCTCTTCCTCCCTCCTCCATCTCCCCCTCCTCCTCCTCCTCCTCCTCCTCCTCCTCCTCTCCTCCTCCTCCTCCTCCTCCTCCTCCTCCTCCTCCCTCCTCCTCTCCTCCTCCTCCTCCTCCTCCTCCTCCTCCCCTCTTCCCAGTCCTCCCACTCCTCCTACTGCTCCCCCTCCTCCTCCCTTTCTCCTCTCTCCTCCTCCTCCTCCTCCTCCTCCTCCTCCTCCTCCTCCTCCTCCTCCTCCCCCCTCCTCCTCCTCCTGGCCAGGCACGGCGGTGGTGCACAGATGCCTTCTGCGTGTGATGTCGGCCCTCTCCGAGAGGGCTTCACGCGGGAGGGCCGCATCCTTCCTGGGAGAGGAGGCGGGATGCGGGTCACGCCGCCCCTCGGGGACCTCTTACGGGTTTCGATTAGATTCGCCATACCGTCTCGGCTGCGCCCGCCAGGCTTCATTAGTTTGCTGTCGGCCTGAGTCGGCATTCGATACTTCTGTTTGTCTTGCATCCTAACGTTTCAGGCTCCGTCCTTGAGTTAGCGCAGCGCCAAAACTACGGGCCGCGCACAGGGAGCAACCTCGGCATCGTCTGCGGCGGCCTGTTCCTCCCCGCCCTCCTCGCCCCCTCTGTCAGCCTCGCCACTCCCGCGCTCTCTCTCTCTCTCTCTCGCCCTCGCTCGCCGCCTCCCCGCCGCCGGAGGACTTCCCGTGGAAGGACCGCATCCTCGGGGAGAGGAGACGGAACGCGGACCACGTGCAGCGGGAGACGGGCGTGAAGGCAGCGGCCCTCCCTCTCGCTCCGGGCTCTGCCGGCGCGGGGCTGCCCCGCCGCCGCCGCCGAAGCCGCCGAAGCCGCCCGCCGTCCGTCGCCCGCCGCCCGCCGTCCGCCGGCTGCCGTCCGTCGTTCGCTTGTCGTTCGTCGTGTGTGTTGTCCGTCGCCCGTCGTCTTCCGACGTCGTCCGTCGGTTCTCGTTCGTCGTTCCTCGTCGTCCGTGGTGTTCGTCGTCGTCGTCGTCACGTCTCGTTCACGTCGTCGTCGTCGCCTCGCCAGGGCCGGGGCCCGCGCGCGCCGCGCCGCCCAGCGCGTCTCCCTCGCCGCGGGCCCCCGTGGGGCGCGCCGGGTGTCCCCCATTGCTGGTCGAGGGCCGCGAGCCAGGAGCGAGGCAGAGACTCGAGCGCAATGTTTTCCTTGTGCGTTGTTTTGCCGATCGGCGCGGGCCCTTGCACCCCCGCCTCCCCACCCCCATGGAGTAGATCTTGGTTGTTTTTGGCGCCTGTTTCAAGCAGGTGGGGTCTCCCCCATCATGGACGCACCGTTGCAAGCAGTCGCATTGAGCAGAGGTCCGGAGCCAGACCTTCCCCCCTCCCCCCTTTTTGCACAATGTCGAAACGCCGAATAAGAGAATGCTAACAACACTAAAGCGCGGCTAACACATGATTTCTTTCCACTGCAGCACGTCATGGGAGCCTGGTGTAATTACCCTCTGAATTCCGTCTCTAGCGTCGATTCGCGTCGAAGATAGCGCCGATCTGGCGTCGGCGATCGTCGATCAGCGTCGACTTAGCGTCGACGAGCGTCAACTCGCCAGAGCCAATGAGTTGCTCCCATGTGCTGCCGCAGATGCTTCTTCGGAGGTCTGCGCGGAGTTGCAGTGTCGGCGCTGGGCTTTTTGTTCGGAGGTCTGCGCGGAGTTGCTGCGTCGGCGCTGGGCTCCTCGGGTTGCGCGGCGCGGCAGCGAGGGGCGCCCTGCACCGATCCCATTGCGAGAGCTCTGCGCGGACTTTGGCAGTCTGCTCATGCAGTCTCTGCTGCACCTCCAGCACATTGGACTGCCGTGGAAGGTCTCCGGAGTCATGTGGTGAAGCCGGTTCGGTATCGACGCTGGTTTTTCCGATATCCGATGTCAGGTCGGAGTTCATGGCGGGCTTCTTTCCCCGGGTGTTTGCACCTCATCGCAGTGTATGTAAGCGCGGCCGGTCGGTCCCTATTCAGCTCTGATTCCGTGCCGATTTTTTTGCACGAGCGAAATGGGCACGGAAAAGATGGGTACAATGCTCAACAGCAGTTCCTGCTCATTTTGAACAGGACTCGCTGTCCACGCCGCCGCGGCCTGTGTACATTCGAGGCAGAAGGCCGCCTGCCCAACAGCGGCCGCTGTTGGTTTGGGACAACATTTGTTGTTGGACATTGTACCCATTCTTTCCGTACCCATTTCGGGCGTCCAAAGATGCGGCTCGATCTGACGCGCCTTCCGTTCGATCCCGGAAGGCCCGTTCCGAGGTCGATATGTCGACGGATATCTTGCCCTCGAGGGGGCGCACTGCGCGTCCCGAGGGCCGCCCTCACGGGCTCTGGGCTGTCCGTGCACGTGGCCCGGGGGCGTACACGCCGGTCGTTGAAAGCAGGTTCTTGTCAATGCGCAGACCCCAATCTACTTCGAGCGCCTTCCTACTTCAGCAGAATTGATATGCTTCGGCTGTGTTCTGTGGCTCTCTGGGAGGAGGTCCTGGGCCCAATCTATGTTTTGATAGCCTTCCTCCTTCATGTTTGAAATGCTTCCTCCGACCTGTGTACGCCCTTCCCGGAATCAGGCGATCGCGAACGTGGATCAAGGGGGTGCGGATTAGCGACGGGTCCCGTTTCCATGGGAAATCGCGGATTTATGCCGCCGAGCGAGGCGGCACCAGCCGCATTTTGGGGAGGGCGCCTCCCCCGATCCATGGATTCGCCGACCGCGCGCCAAATCCATGGATCGCTAATCCATGTTTGCGCGCCCCCGAGATGCACGGCGGGGGTCATGTTCGAGCTGAATGGTGCTGTGTCATGTTCCTGGGCAGCGTTCTCGTTTTGCTTTCGTTCTGCAGCAGCGGTGGAGCGAATACAGAACAAGGGAAACGAGAGCAGAAGGAAGACGCACAGCACCCCTGAAGAGGAATGCCAAATCCGTTCCAGAGCGTTCCAGCACGCTCCCAGAGCGATCCGGAACGCTCTGAGAGGGCCGCGGCGCCCGAGACATCCTCCAGAGCCGCCGGATCTCAGAGATTCTCGATGCATCCTCGCCCGACTTTGTCCTCGTTCTGGCTCAGGTTTCTCCCCGAGGTTCGCCGAGGCTGGCAGGGGAGGCATCGGCGCGCGCAGCGCAGGGGGGGCGGTCAAGCAGTGGTGAAGCGTCCTGGTCTGAGAGTGTTCTGGTAAACTCGTCTTGGTCTGCACGCAGTGTTCCCAGAACAGTTCTGGCCGGGACGGCCCTGCTCCAGTCGGGCCGGGCGAAAGGGGGGGATTGGGAAAGGGGGGGTTACGAAATTTGCTGCATGCAGCTTGATTCGGTGCCACCGAGGGGCCCAATCCTCGATACATAGCCGCCTCCGGCGCCGGGAGGCGCCGGGGAAATCAGCTACGCGAGCTGATTCTCAAACCCCCCCTTTGCTATCCCCCCCTTTCGCCCGACCCGATCCAGCACAGCCGGGGTTTGTTCTGAGGCCATGGCTTTTGTTGCGCAGGCTGAGGATATTTTGCGCGGTGGGCCTGCGGGAATGCCGGGACGGTCGGTCCCTGCTCAGGGCGGGGGCGCGCCGTGCAGCTCCCCGGGGGGGCGGAGGGGGCAGGCCTCCCCGGGGTAGCACGCGCGCCCCGGGGGGGCTCGGGGGCGGCAAAGAGGGGTGTGTGTGATGACCACGGGGGGGCGGATAGCATGGCGGGGGCCATGATATATTTCCCCAGATTTCGTGGCGCCTCTCCTTACTTCATGACGTCCCTGGCCCCCTCGCTGGGCCGCGCACATGCCGCCGGTCATGAGTTGCACCCCACCCTCTTGGACACCCCCTTCTTGGCCGCTCCCGAGGGGGCGGGACGGGCGGGCCCTGCGGTGGCGATCGGGGCGGGACCGAGACCAACCCACTTCCAGCGCCTTCCTGTCCAGCAGTGGCGAAGCGTCTTGGCGTGCATGTTCTAAGGATTTGTTTGTGTGGTCTGCACGAGATGCTCTTAGAACAGTTCTGGATGGGACCGTCTTGTTGCAATGCACCGGGCCCATGGTCTAAGCGCAGTGCTCTGTTTTTGTCGAACACTGCTGGGTTTCAAGGCCATCCCGTGGTGGTCCTAACAGGAATGCCGGGACGGTCGGTCCCTGCTCAACTCGAGGGCGCCCTCGAGCCCAATCGATGTCCAACGCCTTCCTACGTACCCCATGCCTCTACGCACTTCTCCCGACTCTGCGGGTCGCTCACCCTGCCCCGGGACGTGCGGTGGCGGTGCTGCGCTCGGCGGCCCCTTCCCGAGGCATCGGCGCGGCAGCGCCGATCCCTGGTCGAGGCCTCCCGCCCCTGGGCCAGGCCCCCCCCCCCCCCTGTGGCGCCATCGGTGCTTGCCCGAGGGCGCCCTCGAGGGCGCCGAATGTTTCGTGCTCCGCGGTGCCGCTCCGATTCCTCCTCTTCCTCCTCCTCCTCCTCCTCCTCCTCCTGCTCCTCGTCTCCCCTGAGGGACGGCGCGAGAGCGCGAGGCGAAGCTCTTCGCGCTCCGCGCCGAGTCATTCGCGCTAGGCCGTTCCGCTCAGATTCTCCCCCATTTTCCTGCTTTTCTCCCTTGGGGGGCGGCGCGCGAACGCGAAGTGCTTCGCGCTCCGCGCCGAGCTCTTTGCGCTTGGCGGTTCCGCTCCGATTCCTCCTCGCCCCCTTCCTCTTCTCCCCTTGGGGGCGGCGCGCGAGCGCGAAGTGCCTCGCGCTCCGCGCCGAGTGATTTGCGCTTGGCGGCTCCTCTTCTCCCCTTGGGGCGGCGCGAGAGCGCTACTACTACTACTACTACTACTACTACTATTACTACTACTACTACTACTACTACTACTACTACTATTATTATTACTACTACTACTACTACTACTATTACTACTACTACTACTATTACGACGACTACGACTACTACTACTACTACTACTACTACTACTACTAGCCGCATGCCGATGATAATAAAGGGCCCCCCCCCCTTCAGTGTTTAGAGTTGGTTATCGTCGCCCTATACAAAATTCAAATTGGGCGGCGAGCGCTGAGGCCGAACTTCATTACCACCTCGAAACGCTATGTTGAGATAGCAACAGCAAGCGATGTTGATATAGCAACATGAAGCGAAGCGATCACACTTTTTCAGGATGTGTCAAGCGAAACCAATAATTTTGGGAGGCAGACTCAAACGAAACGAGCAATGTTCTTATTATTATTATACTGTCCCCTTCTTATTTTATATTTCTATCTGTCCTCACGCTCGCCTGAACTTTTTTATCCCTGGGGTTGATTATTCATGGAAAATGAAGCACATGAGCTACCCTACACGAGCACTTAAAAAATCAAGTTACATAAAGCGTTTGTAAATTAAAATTGATAGATTTGGAACTTTGGATTTGTCCTTTTCTTCGTCCTTTTCTTAGTATCATCTCCTTCTTTCTTAGTATTATTATACTGTGTTCTTCTTCTTCTTTTATATTTCTCTCTGTCCCCACGCTCGCCTGAACTTTTTTATCTCTGGGGTTGATTATCCATGGAAATTGAGGCACATGAGCTACCCTACACGAGCACTTACAAAAAAAACAATTTTCATGAGAGATAAGCCATTGTTGAGGATATTTCTATGAAAACTAAACGCCAAGGATGTCTCAAAACGTGCTCGGCTTGGTCTCCTCTTGATCATCTCTTACTTCGAGATTATGCTGAGGTCTGCTGGGCTACTTTTATTATCTCTCCCTGAACCCCGAACTTTATTATCCCCTAGTGTTTATTCTCACGGGCATG